AAGAGGACCCTGAAATCGCTTCTGACCGCCTTGCTCAGCGGCCAGGGATCCGGATCCAGCGCGCGCGCGTGTGAGTGTGACCCCATGCATTCAATCAGTCTGCTAAATATTAGTTACTGCCGATCCTACCAAGACGAGTCGGTCAGGCGGGTCAGCAGCTTGTGATGCAGTCTGGGTAGAAAGGGGCACCGATAAGCCAGGCCTTTGCAGAGCGAGGATGTGTGGTCGGTGAAGACCCATGCTGCATGCTCGTGCAGGTGCGCAAAAATAACAGCGGCAGCGGCCCTCGCCAACCTTGAATGCAGCCGACCGAGGGAGGTTTGTGTGCGACTGAGTGTCCGTCGGTGTGGCTGAGCATCCATGCATAGGCCGCCATCTCGATCCACCATCACCATCATCATCATTGACCAGTCGCCTGCTTTCGAATTCCGCCGGCAAGATTTCTATTCCACCACACTCACCATCATCAACAACGACACAAAACCCGCCTCTCGCCAGGTCCTGACGTGCGTCCTCCCGTCTGGCTTCTCTGTTACTCGTGCTGCTACCCGAGTGAACCGTCAAGCCTCGCTGGTCGTGCTCAGGCCATTGCTGAGCTGAGCACCACTCTCAGAACTTCACATTCACAGCCAAGCAACAGAAAGCATTCCTCGCTGGAACCACGCCCAGTGTTGCCCAGCTGCATCTGCAAATCAAAGTCGCTTGCATCCTTTTGACTGCACCCATCATCCATCGCATTCAATCTCGGCCTCGCGATCTCGTTTCTGGCGGATCAACGTCTGTCGCATACGGCTTCGCACCTCGTCGTCAATTTGCCGCCGTATTCGGCACGCAACGCGCATCAGGAGTCCTTCCTTCTCAGTGCTCTGGCGTCGTCCTATCTCGAGCATCGAGCCAAGCCGAATACTGAGCAGCGGCGTAGCTGACACAGTCTAGCTATTGTCCGTACGGTTTTCCTTGCTGGCAGTCACAACTCTACGAACGACTTTCCACCACCCTGATATCAATGTCCAGGAGCTCAACAGGTCGAGATGAACGTATCGGCGACTTTGTCATCGAAAATGAGATCGGTAAAGGATCTTTCGCTGTCGTCCACAAGGGCCACCGCCTGCAACCTCGTGAGCCTGTTGCCATCAAGATTGTGATCCGCAAGAAGCTCACACCCAAGCTCTTGGACAATCTCGAGGGCGAGATCGCCATTCTCAAGGCCATCCATCATCCCAACATTGTCGAGCTCAAAGAATGCCTCAAGACGGAGACCCAGATCTACCTCGTCATGGCCTTTTGCGCCTCCGGCGACCTCTCGCAGTATATCAAGAAGCGTTTCGACATCTACGAACGCGCCGGCATGGCAGCGCCCGGTTCTTTGACACGAGCCCAAAAGCCGACCTACCCACACCCTGCCGACGGCGGTCTCAACGAAACCATCGTCCGTTCCATCTTGACCCAGCTCGCTGCTGCGCTCGAATTCATGCGCGCTCGTGACATTGTACATCGCGATATCAAGCCGCAGAACCTCTTGCTTCAGCCTCCGGACGCTGCGTTTCTAGCGCTTGGGAACCCGCGCGAAATACCTCAGATGAAGGTCGCCGATTTCGGCTTTGCCCGTCACTTGAGTGTCAACGCTCTCGCAGAGACTCTGTGCGGATCGCCGCTCTATATGGCTCCCGAAATCCTGCGCTTCGAGAAGTACGACGCAAAGGCGGACCTCTGGTCTGTGGGTGCTGTGCTTTTCGAGATGACCGTAGGCAAGCCGCCGTTCAAAGCCGCAAACCACGTCGAGCTTCTCAAACGCATCGAAAGAGGCGAGGACAAGATCAAGTTCCCAGACGAAAGATCGGCAGGCTCCCTTGCCAGGGAAGCTGCGCGTCGGCAGGAGCTGGGTGAAACTCCTCTGCCACCGCCGCATCCCGTCTCCGGAGACGTCAAGATCCTGATCCGTCAGCTACTCCGACAAAAGCCTGTCAGCCGAATGAGCTTCGACGACTTTTTCGCAAGTCCAGTCATCAGCGATTTCAAGGCCTTCATTCGTCCACATGCTCAGCCTGACGCGATCGAAAAGTACGAAGATCTCCAGCGGAGCGAACGCAGCGTCATCATACCATCGTCTGGATTCAAGGACGCGTCGGTGTCCTCAGTGGGACCATCGACCGCGACGTCTGACGTACAGTCTCCGAGCAGTGCAGCACCATCCCCATCCCATCAAGACCCTACATCGCACCACGAGCGATCTCGGAGCAAGCAAGATGGAAGCCCGAAATTGGTTCCACGAGAAGCTACCGACTCAAGCAAAGCAACGCAAGAGGTCGGTAGACCCGCAAGAAATCCGCCTCGATCTTTCTCGGCGAAATATGTCACCAGCGAATCACCCCATCCAGACGATCCGGCGAGACACGTGCCACCTGCCGTGACGCGGGTGCCGAGCTCGCCGGGCATCATCCAAGAGGGGTCTCAGCTGCCAGGCGGCCCAGACGGAACGCGCCCTGCAGCGCCGGGCACCAACGACCTCGTTTCTTCGAAAGACGGTGAGGACAGCTTCCTGGGCAAGGAATACGTCATGATCGAGAAACAAAACGTCGAGGTCAACGCTTTGGCCGACGAACTAGCAGCTTCGCCGCAGAGCAGGCTGTCAATGGTCTCCCGCAGACCATCACGCCTGTCGCGCCTCGCTTCCGGGTCCATCCCTAACACGTCCGGCGCATCACCGCCTGCTGCACAAAGCGCGGTGCCGACCACCCAGCCCATTCGAATCGCCGGCAATGCGGACACGGCTTCGACCGGGGCATTTGCGCTTCCGCCAGGCGCAAGACCGTCATCCAATCCACGCCGCGCTAGCCTGTCATCTTCCGGTTCGCCATCGACGCGCCAAGGCGGTCAGGTCATCACAGCATCGGATGCCGTCGCCAGCACACAGAGTGCTCGTCGGGACGGCTTGGCGACATCAACACCAAAAGAGGACGTCAGCTTGCTGGGACAAAAGCTGGCAGGCTTCGGTCTGTCCGGTGGCGGCGGCAATGGCGGGCCTTCGAGCGCTCTTGCCAAGGCGATCAGCATGGCCTCGCTGCGTCTGTTCGGAGTCCCGTCCGGCGTGTCGTTGAGAGACGCCGCGGCGCTGGTGCGTACGAGAGCACAGAGACGTGGATTCCTGCGACCAGCCGACACGTTGGACGAAGCCGAGATGTATTTGCTGAGCACGCTAGAGGATCTGGGCCAGAAGGCATTTGTGCTCTCGGAATTTGCCGACTCGAAGCTCGCCCACTTTTTCCCTGACGGTCCACATCAGCTCTCGCAAGACTTGGACTCCTCGACGGCCACCACAGGCATCTCGCCGGGTCGAAACAGCGTCCAAGCGTCCGGCCGGCGTGTCGGGTCGATCTCTTCTTCGTCATCGTCTGCGCTTGATCCGGTAGCTGCCGAGGCTGCATCGGCAGAAGCGCTGATGCTCTATGTTCGCAGCCTAGCCTTTCTACAGCGTGCTATCACGCTTACCAGGAAGCACGTCGAGGCACGTTCGCGCCCCGGAGTGCCTGCTGTGACCAGCGCCGAGCTCAACGACGTGGTGCAGTGGCTTCGGGCACGTTTCAACGAGGTGTACGACAAGGCCGACTTTGCGCGCTCACGTTGCAACGAGCTTCCGGAGTCGGCACAGCAGGTGGACAAGCTCATCTTCGACAAGGCAGTGGAAGTGGCTCGAGCAGCTGCAACTGACGAGCTCGAGAATCACCGGGAAGGGAGCGGCTGGGATCCATCACACTGCTTATTGGCCTACGAGACGGCCAGCTCGATGCTGTCTTCGTTGCTGGATCCAGGTGAGGATTCGTTGAGCCTAAGCGAAGGCAGCATCTTGATGATTGACAAGTACATCAAGAGCATCAACAAGCGTCTCTCGACGTTGCAGGAGCAGTTCGGCGGGGGCATCGGTGGCAATGTACCGACGGGTGCGAGTCTGGCCAGTGTTGATGCCGAGGCAAGGCCAGGTGTCAGCCGCAGCAGAACTGACTCGCCCTCGTCGCATGTGTCAAATCCATCTCCCGCTCCAACGCTGTCTCGATGACATCAACGACGTCTCAAACAGCACAATTTTCTATTTAGATCCATCTTCCCCTCGCACCATGCTATCGTTTTCATTATGACCAACCACCGCAGCACAGCATCCACGCGATGTCTCACTTTCATTTGACCATTCGAACACTCTCGGCTGCGATGATGAATTGCTGAGTCAAGGAGGAGTCGAGACTGATGCCAAGCTGCCAATGCCAAGTTGCTTGCACGAATGCTCACTGCGGCGGCTGTTCGACCTGCTGCTCTCCTTGGTAGAGTCGACGCATCTCGGTGCCGATCTCGACACGACGCTTGCCCTCGATGAACTCCATGGCCTCCTTGTAGGTTTGTGGTAGCACCTGGTGATCAGTTTCTCCAAGATCAAAGCTGAAGTGGAACTGTGAGGCGAGAAAAAAGAGGATAAGAAGTTGTTTAGCGAGACTGGTGAGCTGCAAAAGGATGACTCGAACGCCGACGATGTTGGATCAAGCCGCAATGCTCACAGTGTTGCTCTTTTTACGTTCGCCTGTTTCAAGGTCAACCACCTCTGCGAGGACGGTGACGCCGGCGATGGTGTGACGTTGGGGATGTTGGTCCGGTTCCGAGGTGTAGGCAATTTGGGAAGAGAGCTGAAGCATTGCACCGATGGGGACGGGCGCATGGAAGGACAGTGCGTCGAGCGAAAGGAACTGGACGTGTCGGTTGACGAAGGAAGCGGACACCATCCAAGCAAGCTCGTAAGCGGATCGCATCAGGAAGCCACCAAAGATCTTCTGATGGACGTTTCGTTGTTGAGGGTGCATGTGCATGGTGGTGCTCAAGCTCGTCTTGCGGACGGGCACGAGCGTGGCGCCGTTGGGATGATCGACGGGCTCGAGCTTCATGGCAGGACCGTGCAAGTCGTCGGTGGCAAACATGCCTGCTTGGAGGCCGCGAAGGTATTGACTGTGAAGTAGAAAGGCTTCCTCCTTGCTCGGCGGTACTTTTTCAAGCGAAGAGGCGGCCTCGGTACGTTTGCGATTCTTGTGTGCCTCTCCCATGGCGAACAGAGCCCTCTCGGCATCGGTTTCGAGGATGAGAGGAGCGATGCGCTGACTCGATAGCGTATGGGCGTTTCGGGCTGCCATGGTGAATCGACCGGTGAGGCAGATCTTGTTGGGCCGCATCGGTTCGGTGAGCTGCTCGATGCTGACGAATACTTCCATACTACTGGAGCCGACGTAGATGACGTGGCCGCTGAGACGGTAGTTGGCGTCGGCAGTAAGCGGAGCCAACAGATCGAGTCGATCGACGGAAGCAGTAACAATGTAGACTGGTGCGGATCCTTCGCTGGGATGCCCTCCGAGAGCGTGCTGATACGAAATGCCACCAGCTAGACTATCGAGATCTTCGAGCACTTTTCCGAGACGAATCAAGCCCGACGTAGCGATGTACTTTTCGAGCAGCTCGGGGTCTTCAGTGAAGGGTAGGTAGAGCTCTACATAGCTATCTTGCATCCGTTTTGGTCTGAGCATGGCTTCCGGGAGTTCGGATGTTCCGGGTTGAATCGTACCTTCTGCTGGGTGCTGTTGAAATTGCATCTCCTTCATCCAGCTTCTGCGTGGCGCGAGCCGCGCTGTCATTGCGCACGATTGAGACAGAAACCGAGTCAAGTTCGTGTCAGCTACCGGCCGGGGGATACGTCGGAGACGTTGCGGATCACGAGACGACAACTTACTTGGCATGCTAAGCTTGAGTTTCTGTGGATGTGCACCTCTCACCTCGGCCATGAGCTTGTGAATCTCTCGGACGGCGTTGGTCTCTTGAAGAGGTGAGGCTTGCTGAGTCAGATGTCGCTGGAACTGACGGCAACTGCGAAGCCGCTGAGCTTGAGCGGGCGCAGCACTGCGGCCGAAGACGCGCAGCAAGGATGAGGAAGAGGTTGACGCCATTTTGCTCGAGGAAAGCCAGACGTGGACGATGGCTGATGAGACGAGAAATGACAATATATAGACAGACTCTCTCTCTGTCTGGATCACCCGGCTGCTCCGACGTCAGCGTGGGACGAAGGAGAAGGTGACAGTATGACAAGGACGGTGAGGAACGGAAAGCGGCTTCGACGGCATGTCCGGAACAGCCGAGCGACTCCGCTTCAGGGTCTTTGGCACTGGAGGCGGGAAAGGACCTTTCCGAAGGGTGGTCCGAAAAGTTTAAATGTGCGACCATCGTTTCCAAACACTGCCAATGATTCTCGATTTTTCGGAGGCTGAGAACCGAGCTGATTAAGAAAGACAGCGCTTGAAGCGCGGGGACGGAGAGAATGGTCAAAATAAGCGAGCTCGAAGCACGCACGGCGAAAAAGCAGTCTCTGTCTGTGGCAGCCAAAGTGGGCTGAGGGAGGGGCTGCGGGGTTGACCGTCTCTTGCATCGGCAGAGCAGCAGAAGCCGTTCGTCGATGCGACACTCTACGTTATCTTGCCTCCGACCATCACGACCCTCATCTTCACTTCAGCTTCCATTCTCTTGCTCACTTATTGCTCCACTCTAAACATCATCAGTGAGCAAGGCGTCGACATTCACTTCGCGAGCCCATCGTCACCATTTCCGACAGCTCACATGGGCCCATAAATCATACCAAATCCTTGGGTCGTCGCCCTTCTGCTCCACGACCACCGCGGCGCTCGGTCATCTCGAACGGACCATCGACTCGCACTCGTATAGCCTCCAATATGACGAAGCATGTTCGGCCGCGCACCTGGCGCACCCTGGCGTCGTCCACGTTGGTCCTCCAATTGCTCGGTATAGCGCTTTGGTGCTCGTCTGCCGTCGTTGCAAGTCCGGCCTTGGCAACATTGGAAGCTCGCCAGCAGTCGCCATTCTCCACCCCAGATGCATCTCCCGCCTACTACGAAGCGATGGGTCTCCAGCGCGTAAACGTCACCCTCGCCGTCATGTCCAGATGTCCAGATGCCCTCGCTTGCGAAGCAGCCTTCGACAAAGTGCTCGACCGTGTCAATGCCAAGACCCGCGTCACTATGAGCTACATTGGAAGCATCGATCAAGACAAAAAGAACAGCAAATATGGCGTCTCATGCATGCATGGCGACCAGGAGTGCGCCGGCAACATTCAGCAGCTTTGCGTTCAAGATGCACTCGATCCTGTTCGGGCCGGTGAAGACTTCGACCTCAGTCCAAGCGCCGCTCAGAAGAAGTGGTGGAACTTTCTCCAGTGTCAGAACTACGCAGGTCTCTCCAAGATCGGCGATGAGGGTCTCGCACAGAGATGTCTGCGTGTCGTCGACGGACCCTCGTGGGACAAGGATGGCATCGCAAAGTGTGCACATGGCAAGCAAGGCAAGAAACTCCTGCAACATAGCGTCAAGGCCTCCAAGAAAGCCGACCTCGCCAAATCTTGCACCATCGTCTTCGAAAACGGCAAGAGGTGCATCCGCGATGGAGGCGCTTGGAAGGATTGCGACCTCGGGCACCAGCCTGCCGACTTTGTCGCCGAGATCGAGCGTATCTGGTCTCAGAAAAACGAGGTCGCTATCAACGAGCACGCACCCCGGTCGAGCAAGACTTTGCCGCTTTCGCCCACTCGACTCTCAAAGCGACAGACCTCCTCCTCCTCTCCCACCAACACCGACTCTGGCTTCAGCAACCCCTTTGCAGGCTCGAGCACTCCACCCAGCGTATTCGTAAGTATTATCTGAGTTCGATTCCTATCTCCGTCACCGCCGAAACTTTGCCGTGCTCGACAGGGTTGTTTCCTTCGCCTCGTGCCGCTGCCAGGTCGCAAACGCGCCGTGCGCAACCTCATCCTCGTTCGGAGTACGCGTACGCTACTATTCGCGCGTTCAATGTGGCTGGTCGCCGGTTGTCGTCGTTGTATTAGGTCAAAAGCTCAACCCATGCTTTTCTTCTTGTCTCTCCGTCCACGCACCCCGTCGCTGTGGCATTCGCCTGGTCGTCTCGTCTCGTCTCAACGCTACATCTGCCTTCATTACTGCAGACACTGATCATTGGTTAGTATTTTTTGCTTCCCCCCTTGCTCCGATTCCATCTTGCGATCTCAGTACGGCTCGCCTCTCGGAAGCTTTGCAATCCGTGCCTTACGTCTCGTCAAAAGGCAAAGTCCCAATCCCTTCGGATCTCAAGGCTCTGACATCCCCGTTCCCTTCCTCTCCTTTGCCCTCACAGCCATCGCTCTCTTCGTCATTGTCGTTTGCTTCGTTCTCCTGAGGATCATCATGCGCAATCGGCGCCTCCGTCGCCTCGGGTTGCTTCCGGACGGCCCCTTTGACCGTTTGCTCGGACCGACGAGGGAGATTGAAGACACGCTCACACCTCCAAAGCTGCTCGAGGCTCGCATCGCACACGATTTCCGCCCGGCTGCTTACGATGCCGAGGTGAAAGCAAAAGGCTGGGATGCTGTCATGCCCATCTCGGCAGCCGTACCACCTGTTCTCTACTCGGATCTCTTCCCAAAATCTAAAACCTCCGGCACCGGTTCCTCCAGCGGTGCTGTTGCCGATCCTGTCGGCACAAACGCAGGCGCCCAAGATGACTTTTCCTACCCACCCTCATCCTCACCCACCGGCGGTCTGACTCGTCGCCTGCACGTACCTTCTTTCTTGCGCCGTCATGGTGACAGCAGCTCGCACGACGACGCCAATGGCACCGCTCGCAATGCATTCACAGCCGAGGCAAGCTACAACGGAACCGACGCAGACGCCAAAAACGCCAAAGCAGATACCAGCACCCCCGCCTCTGTTAACATCACTGTGCTCATCGCCATGCCCTCTCAGCGCACCGTCTTTCCCTCGACCCAGTCGCAGTTTGATCAGGCCGCGATCAAGTCTCAGCGCTCGCTCAACTTCACTTCCACGGACAAAATCGATGAGGTTGAAGAGAGCGTTAGCGGGCACCAAGGTGGCTTGAGGCGGACAGCCAGTATCAAAAGTTTCCGCACAGCAGCCTCTGCGAAGAGCATTGGCGATGCACGCAGAGAGGCGTTTTTCAACAAGATGAATGAGCAAGAGGGGAACACGGTCTCGCAAGACGTGCCTGCCACCAACTTGGACGATGAAGACGAGGAAGAGCTGCCGGAGCTCGTCTTTGGAACCGCCAGCGTGCCGATATTTGCGCGCCTTGCCGGTGCTGGAGCTGCTGGAAGAGAGCCATTTGCCGGCACATTGGAAGCGTATCAGCCGCTACGATCAGAGCTGGTCCGACTCGTGACAAGTGCCCACGAAGCACGCGAACGCAAGGTGGCCATGGAAGCCGCAGCAAAGCAGGCAGAGAAGGACGCAGCCAACGCCGACGACGGACAGACTACTATCGACGAGAGATCCACCACTAACAATCAGGGACGAGTGGGTGCCACTGCCGACAGTGGTGTTGCAGCCTCGGCAGGACATCGTGTCAGTGCCAGCGAGACGATCGATAGCGAGACAGCTGCCATCATTGGCTCTCCTGGCCTCGCCACTGTTCCTACAGCGGCGCATCAGGATGGTCTTGGCGACGTGGTCAGTCGCATGATGGCCGAGCCTAGCCAGCACGGCACTTCGACATCTTCGCCCGTACCGGCGCCGGCGATTGGAGGTCATCTGGACCACCGTTTCTCGGAGGATCCACGACCGAGTATCGGGGTCAACTCGAATCTCTCTCGTGACGAAACGTCGACGCCGGTGGCTGGTGAGGCACATGCAGGTGCTTACAACACTTCGACGCTCACCTTGGACCCTTTACTTGGAGACAGTGCCGGCTCCTACACCGGAGCGCCAGCCCGCCACGCGCACGGTGCAGAGAGAACCGCTTGATAACGACAAAGTCTTTTTACGACCCCAAATTTTGTACTTGTTTTTTCTCGCTAGGTTTTTTCCTTTTCGAATGATACCATTCAGTCTCTCCATGATACCATTCCCCGCCCAGACGTGATTTTGAGGGTCATGGTGAGCATTCAGTCTAAGCTGACGATGGAGATTATGTTTCGTGGCCACCAGTTGAGCACACGGCGATGCAATTGGGACGGTCGCAGGGTATTCTGCGCGAAAGCCAACGCGAGACGCATACCAGGACCTCGAACGCGACGATTGGAATGTGATGCTTTGATGCGGTACGAACTACAAGTACAAAGAAGATGAATGAATATGCTAAGAGAAACAGGAATAGAATGAGACGTGCGAGATGCTCAGAATGCGTGCGTGGCAAGATACGATCGACTGCGGTCAGATGTGATGAAGAATGCTGGTGAAGGACGAGGTTCAGGTGGAACCACCTGACTCGAGCAAGGCGTTGACAGCGACTTCGTCGTCAGCGGCGTTCTGTGATGCGCGTGCTTCTTCAGCGACTTGGCGGGTTGCACCTTTATAAGAAATAGACTGATCAGAGGGCTGCACCGCTTTCGCAACTTTGTCGCCATCACCGAGCGTGTCGACTTTGGCTGCTTCAGGAGCAGGACGCGTCGGGCGACGTCGCAGAGGCAGTTGTGCCCAAGATTCCTTACGACAAGTTGGACAGTTGACCCATTTGCCCACCGTGTCGCGTTGCTGCTGCTGCTGCTCATCGGCTTGTTCCGTCGATGAATCAAGCTGGTCCGGCTGGTCATCTTGGTCCAACGAAGAAGCGTCAGAATCGCTGCCACTGAGGATGGCGTCAAGATCATGTGCGCCGACGAGGTCATTCTCGATGCGCATGCTGGTGCACAGGCAGTCAAGGTGAACCTCGTGATGGCATGGAGCCAGTTTGACCAGCTCGGTGGTCATGTCGTCGGTGGTTTCGGGGAGTTCGAGATGACCATCGTCGGGCTGAGAGGCGAGAGGATAGCGTGGAAGACAAGCGGGCGCATCGCATCGCCATCCGCGCTTGCGCTCTCGTGCCCTCACCTCTTCACGCAGCGTCGTGTGAGCAGCCGAAGCGGACGGGATAGCCGCGGACTTGGTAGGGGAGGATGAGGACGTGTCTCGTGCGTTGCCTTTGTTTGGGCTGGGGCCGATGCTTGCTCTGCAAAAGGGACAAGTCCACTGGGAGGGAGGAAGCTTTTCAAGCCAGTCGCGTAGGCAGCCGGCGTGGAGGGTATGGTGGCCGGAGCAGGGTACTGCTACGACGGCTTCGTCCTGGCTTTTGGGGCCATCGATCCATTCGGGGCGGTCGTCCGTGTCGTAGCTGTCGAGACAGATGCCGCACCCAAGCAGGGCGTCCGCTTCAGCGCCACCAGCGATGGTATCGCCGAAGCCGCCGATGCTACCCATGCCCAGGCGAGCCATACGTGCTCGGAGCTCTGCATCGGCGCGTTCCAGCTGCTTGACAAAATCGGCAGCCATCTTGGGGTCGGGCTGCTCCGGTTCTGGTGCTGGGGTGAAGTGGATGTCGAGGAGGATGCGGAAAGGCGGTCCGGCGACGAGCCGTGGCTGCTGGGACTCTGGAGCATCAGGTGAGGGTCCTCCGGGCGGTGATCCGGGAGTGACCTGAGCGATTGGCCAGGCTGTCTGGGTATTTGAATCATAGATGAAGGAGAAGGGCAGGGGAGAAGCGCCGAAGGGGACAAATAAGGGTGCTACCGGGACGTGACCATCGGGATGAGGGTGCGAGTGTGGTGCGGCAGGATTTGCGCCGTTGCCGCTGCCAGGGAAACCGGTAGGGTGTATGGTCGGCTGGGCTGGATCGGGCTGACTGGGTGCAGTAGTGTTTGCGGAGGGCTGCGGTCGACCCTGCGTTGGAGATTGTGGAGAACTTGGAGCAGTCTCGTCCCTGCTGGGCAATGGCTGCGGATGAAAGGCGAGAAGGGCAGGATTACCGTCCGGTCCAGCAAAGGGTAGGCGGAAGTAAACGGGAGGATGCGGCAATCCACTTGCCTGCGAATCCGGGTCTGCTGCGGTAGCGTGTTGTGCAGATGATGGTGACGGTGTGCGGCCAGGTGAGGATGCAGACCGCCGAGTCGGGTTGTCTATTCGTGTTGATGGTGCAGGTGCATTGTGCGCTGTTGAAGACTCGTTGCGCTGAGCAGAGCCACCGGACTGGGTGACATTGCGGAAGCTGGCCATGAAGTTTTCCCAAAGAGTGGTAGCGGGAGCGGCACTTGGCTGGTCTTGGGAAGATGTCGAAGTCGAAGAGGCGGACGCTTGCTCGCCGTTTGCGCTTGACGTAGATGCTTGCGCTGAGGTCTCGTCCATGTTGCGGGGATCCGCCGTTGAGCGAGATGGTTCAGCACGATCCGAGGTGGAGTGTGAGTTCTCCATATTGATCAGGTTGGTAGCGCCATAAGACGGGGTTGGCTAGTTGCTAGCTTGTCGTTGGTGTGGGATGAAGGCGAAGAGTCAAAGAGGGATGCGGGGATGGTAGAGCGGGAGATGGACGGTGAGAGGCGCAGTCATTGTGCTTGTCAGACGAGGTTCGGGCTTAATTCCGACTGTGGAAATTGATAGCCGATGCATCATCATTTTGGTTGGTGAGCTCTCCACATTCTCGCTTTCATAGGAAGTTGCACGCAGACACTCCGACAGGCAGACGAGAAGGCCCGATCGGTAGCACAGAGTCGCGACTGCCGTGTCATCGATAATATGCACAAGACCGGCTCGAGGGACGGGAAAGGCGAGGCTTCCACGTATGAGCTCAGCAAGCCCGGCAATCAAGCTCTTTGTGTGTGTGTCTAAGTGACACGCAGCTTCCACGAGCTTCTCGCACTTTCAGATCGAGTCGAGGCAACGATGTGAGATCGTCATTGCATTCATCTGTGATTTATTCAGTGGATTGAGGGAATTCAACACTGAAACTCAAAATTGAATGCGAGTGTTGTTCTGCTGCATGAGTGCATGCACCCTGCAGATCCGCGTATGCAAGCCACTCAGGGGCACGTCGCTTGGACTTGCTTGCTCTTGTCTTGTCCCACCACCAACTTGCTCACACCCCTATCCTTCCACCCTGCCACTGCTCGCGGTAGTACAGCGTGCACCATGCCGACGCCGTCACTGCCAGCTCGGTCGAAACACAACGCTTATTGGACCTCCTCTATCCACATCCCCACCACCAACACCATCCTTTGTTGGCCTTTCATAACCAGCAGCAATCTCGATGGCCTCCTCGCCCCACGCCTCTCGCCCAGCAGCGTCTCGCTCGCTGCCCTCTATCACCGTCTTTAACCACCCTGCCGCTCGTCTCATCAAGACTGTGCCCCAACTTCAGCCTCCCACCCGCGTCAATGCACACGTCATCAATGACACCTTGGGCATCGGACGCACCTCGTCTACCGATGTCGTGCTCACAGACGTCCACGGTCCTCTTTCGCTTCTCGTCGTTCCTGACCCGCTCGATCCAACCATAGCAACCCTTGTTCTTTCCATCGGATTCCAGGACAACAGGCTCCAGGGCGCCGCTCGACGCTTCGTCTTGCCCTTTCGTTCCTTCAAGCGTGACCCCATCACTGGTCGGCTCGTCTCTCAGTCCCAAGTCAATGGATTCGATGCAGCGGATCGCAAGATCTATCCAGGCCTAGGAGCAGGGCTCAAGGGCCTAGATGGTGGAAGCTTCTGGTTCTTCGAGGACATCGGCGAGCAAGGTGCCTTGGATCGTTTTCGGTGGGAAAAGGACAATGTCGGTCGTCGCGCCATCTGGACCGTCTGGCTCATCAGCACTCCCGCGCCCGTCGTGCTCCATCTTCAGAATCTGCTACAATCCTACCCCGCTCCCGTTGTGCCGCTTCCGCCCTGGCTGAAGGAGAGGAACGGCTTCCCCTGGCAGGACAGCTACTTGCAACAAACCATTATCCCACCTTCACCGCATCACGCTCAGAAGCCACAGATACCACGCAGCGATCCGCAGACCACAGCCAGCCTCTTAGCCGAGCCGAAGCATCTTGGGCAAGAGTCCTCATCCGTCACGATTCGCGACACTCCCCAAGGGTCTTCGAGGAGCCAATTTGACGCAGCTGCTCCACCGGAGTACAGAAACAGCTTGGTTGCTGTCGACAATCTCACAGGTCAAATTGCTGGTGTCTTGGCTTCCCAAGTTGATCTCGACGCATCTTCACCGTCTTCAGACCAAGCCTCGTCAGGCAGCAGCGACGACGATCACACCGGCCTCGACGACGAAGACGAAATCGAGACACCTCTTGATGAGCACATTCGACCTTTCCAGCACACATCACCCGCATCCCCCCTCGGCCTTCTCGACGAGTCCAAGCTGCTGCCCAGTCTACCTGCTGATCTTTCTATTGCCAGAGAGGAAAAAGCTCTCCCCAATCCTCGAGCCAGCTCCATCATTGCTACTACACCTCGGCCCTCGTCAGTCCTAGCCGCCGATACCTTCAGTCCACCCCCTCTCCCCGCAAAGCAGTCAAATTCGCCCAAACGGGACACCCTCCCATCGCGTCCGACCAGCTCCGTCTCCGCCGCCTTCTTCACTGCCGAATCTGACACCGATGCCATGTCGAGCCACGACTCGGACGCACTCGAGATCGATCCTCGTTCGCTCACACACGACGGCCTTCCCTCCAGTTTTACCTCGATCCGTGGCAAGGCAGTAGAGAGACATCGTCCAGAGCTGCTTCGTGATCTGGTGGATGATGCGGGCGCGGAATCCGATGCGAGTGGGAGTACCGTTGGTGGTCCTGCTGTGAGGATGTGGCGCAAGGCGAGGGGGAAGTCGAAGAAGAAGCAGAACAAGGTGGTCACGTCTGATGTAGGTGCGGACGGTGCAGTGGGAGGAAGACCAGCTATCAGGTCGAGACAGGTGAGCGAGCTTTCAGATCGCACAAGTAAGGCTGTCACGGCTGCGGAGTCTTTGTCAGATGACGACGTTGTCAACCCCGACATCCAGCCACAGCAACAACGTCGAAGCAGTACCGATCCCAAAAGCAGCCCCGAAACGCACCTCCCTCGCTCAGCGCTGCGCACCGACCAAGTACGGTCCATCGAGGACCAAGTCTGGCGCGAAGCCCTCGAAGGCGGTCAGCTACCCATCGATGCACCATACACCCACCTCGCCGCCCGAGGAGATGCGATCTATCCATCCTCCATCCTCTCCAGTCCACGATCCATCGCGGACGGCTCGGCGATCGAGTTGCTCTCCGTCGACGAAAAGTCGCGCAAGCGGAGGCAGCAGACACAACGCCGCGCTGAGAGGAAGGACTACATGCAGGGAGGGACGGTGCTCATCGAGTTCTTGGCTGGATCGAGTCGAATCGGTGCTAGTTTGATACGCAGTGCTGGGTTGGATGCCAGCAGCGTGCGAGGCGAGGGTGTCGAGGGTGAGGCGAAGGAGTCTTCGAGAGCTGGTGGTTTGGCATCGAATGTTTTGGGGTACATGCCGCTGCTACCCCAGCATCTCTTGTCGTTCTTTGGTCTCTCGTCTACAGTAGACCAACCTGCTGCGATGCAAACCGACACTGGCGCTTCCACCTCACCCGCAAATCTGTCCGCGTCGTTCCTTCCAAACCTCACCCTCCCTACTATACCTAGCTGGATCTCCACCATGTTGAGTTTCAACCCTTTTTACGCCACAACTCCTCCCACCAACATCACGGATGCTGAAGCGGAAGGGAGGGGTGATGATTCAAGAGCGGAAGAGTGGGAATACGCGATACCGGAGTTCGATCCCACCTCGCTGTCGAGCACTCCTCGACCGGTGTATCGTCGTAAAAGACCTGTGCCGTCGGCTGTGAATGGGTTCAACATCGCGTCCGTGGCAGCGAAGGGTGATGCGGAGGCGGACGGAGTCGGGAAGCCGGCGGAGCCGGATGCACAGCAGAGTGGAAAGGAGAACAGTCGTTATTCGATCCTTCACTTTGACAGTTTGGGGGTTGGAAGGAGAGCTTTCCTGCGTGGTTTGCCGGCGGATGCTATTCGTTGGTGATACATCGGGAGAGGGGTTGCATGTTTGTCAGGAAGCGCTCATGCTCAACTGGGAAGCGTGAACGCGCGAACCTCCGCGTCAACTGCTGCGTTGCTTTCTCACTCGCCATGTCGTTGCTGTGCATAGTCGTTTCAAGTTCGGAGTTGCTACCTGCCGTTCTTCCCATCACAATCAGATTACCCAGCAACGTTCTCAAATCGCACTCACCGGACGGAATCGCGCACACACCGATCCTGTGGCTACATGCGAGAGTGATGATTGTTAAACGCAAAAGAGACGAGACCTAGTGTACATTGAGAAAAGACAAGAATGCGAACGAACATATGAAAGAGGGACAGACGGAAATAAAAGAGACAACTCAGAAGTCCTCCTCGAGCGAGAAGGTGTGGGTGTTCTTCTGTGTTCCGTCGCCACCGTCTTCGTTCTCCCTTCGTGCAACGCCGGTCTTTGCGTACTCGGCAACCTTCTTCTCGAAGAAGTTGGTCTTGCCTTGCAAGCTGATGTTCTCCATAAAGTCGAAGGGGTTTGTTGCGCCGTAGTGGACAGGGTTGCCGAGCGAGACCAAAAGGCGGTCCGCGACGTACTCGATGTATTGACGCATGAGCGCGGCGTTCATGCCGATCAAGCTGACGGGCAATGCGTCTGTAAGGAAGGCCTTCTCGATCTCGACGGCCTCGCTGATGATCTTGAGGACCGTGTCGGGGTGTGCGCGCTTCTTGAGGTGGCTGAAGAGGAGGCAGGCAAAGTCGGTGTGAAGACCCTCGTCACGCGAGATGAGCTCGTTGGAGAAGGTGAGACCGGGCATGAGACCACGCTTCTTGAGCCAGAAGATGGAGGCGAAGGAGCCAGAGAAGAAGATGCCCTCGACGGCAGCAAAGGCGATGAGACGCTCTGCGAAGGTGGCGCGCTTGTCGCTGATCCATCGGAGAGCCCAGTCGGCCTTCTGCTTGACGACGGGGATGGTCTCGACGGCGTCAAAGAGGAACTCGCGCTGCTCTGGTTCGCGGATGTAGGTGTCGATGAGGAGCGAGTAGGTTTCCGAGTGGATGTTCTCCATCATGATCTGGAAACCGTAGAAGCAACGAGCCTCGGCGGCCTGAACTTCCGAGCTGAATCGCTCTACGAGGTTCTCGTTAACGATACCGTCGGAAGCGGCGAAGAAGGCGAGAACGTGGGAGATGAAGTGGCGCTCGTTGTCGTTGAGCTTGTTGTCCCAGTCGTGAAGGTCCTTGGAAAGGTCGATCTCCTCTGCGGTCCAGAAGGAAGCCTCGGCCTTCTTGTACATTTGCCAGATCTAGTGGAGGGGCAGAAGAAAGTGGATGAGAGTTAGAGATGTGTTACAGACAATGATGCGGAGACGAGCTGGGAAGGAACACTTACCTCGTGGAAGCGGATGGGGAAGAGAACGAAACGACGGCTGGTCTCGACAAGGAGAGGCTCCTCCTCCTCGGGGAGGTCGACCTCACCGACAAACTTGCCGTGAACATCGTCATCAGAGTCAGCGGCAGGAGTGGAGCCCTTGGTTGCGTTGGAGGCATCTACGATCTTGCCCTTGGTGAGGAAGCCGGGGTCTGAAAAGTCATCGGCAGCAAACTTGGTAGCCTGCTTCTTGGAAGGGGTGGCGTTGACGTCGATGCCAGCGAGACCGGCGGCGACCTTCTTGGAAGGGGTCTCGAGGTTGTGTTGAGTGACTGCGGACATGATGGTATGATGTGGGTGCAAGGTGGATGCTGATGCTGACTATACACGGGTGATGATGGCGGGGCCGGGAGGGGGGTGGATGCAAGGAGTGATGCTGCGACGGTAAGTAAGGTGAAGGAAGTTGTCGCAAGTGGTGGAGAGAAGGATATGGTATGGAGGGGAAGGGATGAACGATGTTGAGAAGGAGCAACTTATGTACGTTTGCTGGTGCGACGGGATGCGAGGCTCGACGCGCTGTACTGAGGCAGCGAGGAGCAAGCAAAGGCGAGAGAGGGCGAGCGTGATGAAGGTCGAACAGGAAAAAGCGTTTCGTGTTTGGCGGTGAGTGAAATGCTCAACGCGTTGCGCAGTCACACTCAGCCTCGGCGTAGCGTGACAGCACCACTAACTGTAATTCCACAAAGTGGCAGACAGCCAGACTGCTGGCTCGCGCAATTAATCTTGACTGGGCTCTAAAGGACAGGCTGACATCAGATGAGACGGCGAGAGCTGTTGTGCCTTTGTGCTGTTGAGCAAGGATTCTTCGCGCTCTCTACACGACACGCCAAAAATCACACGTCGAAAATCATGTATTTGGAAATTATTTTCCACGCTCCGGACCGCGATGTTGGATCCTGCAAAATTCAGTTTTGACTCGACGCGTCCGTTTACGCCACGGTGAATTTACAGCGGGCTGAGAGATAGCGAAGAGGCAGACGTGTTGGAACGTGTGACACTAAGCCATGCCAACGACGTGTGTCTCTGTCTGATGCTAAGATCGTCTCCTCGTTCGGACTCGCGCTCGAGACAATCGCCGTGTCATGCATGAACGCGCTTCCTGCATACGACACCGTGAACTCCGTCGATGTGACCATCTCCGAACGGGCCAGCGCGTCTCGTCAGGCACGCGCCGGCCTCGTCCTGCCCCTGTGTCGCGTAAAGAAGAGGCGCCAGCTTGCCGACAGGGTCGATGGTGCGAACTTGTCACATTCCTGATCGTAGCGGTCGGCTGCTGATGCATGACTTTGCAGCTTGACGTAGCATTAGGTTCGCTAAATGTCCTCACCTGCTCGCACATGTCACGGTCCTGTCCTTCCCTACTATTGAACACCTTACGTGCCCCCTCAGCAAGTGCGAAGGAACTTCCGTGCTGATCATGGCGTCACAGATGAGCTGATCGCGCTTGCAACCGAGCGTGGGCCCGGTTGATGGCCACGCTGCGGGATTGGAGAGGAGCTTGCTAACGAGGTCGTGTGAGGCTGCTGCCCTCGGTGTTTGCATTTCGCTCGCCGGAGAAAGGTCAGTCTTAACTCCACCTCTCCGATGACTCGTCTGCAGAGAATGCTAGCATGCATGGCTTGCTGCATGTTAGTTTGCGTTCCCATGGTCGGGCTCAGGTCGGACAATGCACAAAGTTTCGACTCAACTCCGGGTGTCTGTGCGAACGATTCGCGTCCAGAGGCCCCACGATATTAGGTTCGCGTCCGTCGCATGGGTACGAGATCAAGAGGCGAACGCGCTTGAGCTGGTGTGCAACATGTGCACTCGATCGCAGTGTCAATCGCAAACGACGCGGGCTTGGCAGGCACGCACGCGCATCGTTTCGCGTTTCGTGATCTGATAAGATCTGTGAACCCCGCCGAGTCAACTGGAACGGATCGTGACACCGAGCAAATGAAGCCAACCTGTCAAACATCGGCGATCCACTCCCTGCCTGTCACATCGTCGATTGCATGCACGCTTCCGATCCGAACATCACTTTGCCGATGACGATCTTTCGCGGCTCTTACTCCACACTGGCACAAGAACTGCCTCCTGATTTCAGGTCGTGTTGGGGTATTTTCGGAGCATGAAGCTCGCTTGAATTTCAGCTGCCAGTCAGACACCACGCTTCGACAATACGCCTTGCTCCTATTCACACGAGAGCCGACACGGCGGCACAGCACATGCCACGAACCCACACAAACGGCTCTGAGCGCTTCACATGCACTGTCTGGCATCTGGTCCACCAGCAAGGAAGGGTCAAGTGCTCTCATCGTGTGCCTGCAAAGACTTGTACTTGTGTGTGTGTCTTGGCCGGACACGCAACGGCACAATTTGAAAGCCGTGAGCCGGTTCAGGGTCTTTCTTCCATTCACACAACACTCTCCGCCTGTCTTCACACCTCTGCTTCGGCTGTCGACACTTCCTTTCGTCTCCATCATTCATCCATACCCGCTGCACAGGATTATCCACTCTCCTGGTCTACTCGTTGAAGAAGCGCAACTCGAAGGCAGCTGCTCGTCTGAATCACCGGCAAAAAGCTCGCTTACCCATGCAGATCCTACCACCATGACAGAGTCCATCGAGAGAATTGCCACCAGGCATCGAGCTTCAGACGACTTCCCCCTCGCGCTCACCATATTTCGTCCCAAGGCAAAAGTCGCCATCAAAGCCAGCGTCGTCTTTGCCAATGCGACCGGAGTACAAGCTCGCTTCTACCACAACGTTGCCGCCTGGCTCGCTTCCAACGGCGTAGCCGCTTACACCTTCGACTATCGCTACTCTGGTGCATCCTTTCCACCCGAATGCGACCCAGTCAAGCTCGCCGAAGATGAAGACTACTTCGAAGAAGCATTGCGGCAGTGCCCCGAGCATGTCGATCTCACATCCACTTGGTGCAAAGTGGATCTCGCTTCCATCGTTCGACTGGCCTACGAGTCAAATCCTCACGTGGATCTCACCGTAATCGGCCATAGCTTGGGCGGGCACCTCATGGCTGTCTTACCCTCAGACCATGTCTATGGGCCCAAAGCGAAAGTCAAGCGACTGCTCAATGTCTGCGGTGGAAATGCGTTCGTTCAAAACCAAAAGGAACCTGATGCAGCCGAGTTCGGGTTTATGGAGATCGTCGTCAAACCACTTGCCGAAGAAAAGATCTTTCGCGCCGCCAACTTGGGTCTCGGATACGATCTACCCTATGGCCCCGGTCTCGAATGGGTGCAGTGGTACTTTCACACCCATTTCGCATTCAACAGGAAAGAGAATCTTGACTTGGCTAGAGGTCTCAGGGGTGTTCCCTTACTCTACGTTGGCTTTGAGGACGACGAAAAGATCGGCAAGTAAGTAGCACCACCCCAACACCCTTACCCTGCATTTTCACTGCTCCAACAGTCTGCTGACTTTTTCCTTCTTTGGCTTGCACAGAAACATGATGGAAAAATACCTCGGCATGTTCGACCACTCCGACCGCCTCAAACAGAGCCTCTGGATCGACCCGATCAAGAAGAACTGGCCGGCATGCGGTCACGTCAACGCCTTCACGAAAAGCAAGCAGGCCCAACTCGTCCCTGTCCAACACGGCGAAGCATACACCTCACAGGGCGATTTCGAAGACGCCATCTCCAAACACCCAAAACCGCCCCGCAACACGCTCACCAAAGAGGAATCCATCTGGAAGCTCTTCCACGACTACATTCTCGGCAACGAGGTTGACAAGACGGATGCAGAATACAAGGTCTGGACGCCACAGGACGAAAGGGACGTTATGGGAGAGAGAAGGGAGGACGCTGAGTCGAGGGCAAAGCAGCCCAGAGCCGAAGATGTCATTCTCGGACTTGTGCCGCCAAAGAAAGCGAATTTGTAAAGCAAGAGTGCAAACATTGACATTACATCGCAGCAACAGAGACACTGGAAGCTGGAGAAGGCGTCATGAATACGTTCGGAGGGCAAAGAAGCTGCCACAAGGCGTGATCTGATCTTACACGACTCGGAAACAACACAAAGTGAGAGCAAATACGACACCAAGCATTGTAGCCACGGGCTCGATCTCTCGACCAGTCGATGCGCCGTTCTTGCCTTTGGAGCCAGCTGCGGCTCCACGGGACGGATCGCCGTCGCCCTGCCACAGCTCCGGACTCCTCGCCGAATCGTCGCGGATCCCATCCTCGATCTGCGTCATCCAGTACAGCCATCTTCGCAGATAGGCGTCGCTCGTCTTTGCAGCTGCATTTGGAACAAATAGCGGTGTCGTTCCGTTACCATTTAAAGCAGCGGCGTGGAACTGGACCCTCGCGCTCTTTGCAGCTTGAACAAATCGGAAGACCGTCTCCGGTACCGACGTGCCGACAACGGTGGCACCGTCGTTACGCATCAGCACGAGCGGTCGGAATCCGCCGGTTTGATTGATCGAGTCGACAGGAGCATCCGAAAGGCCGAACCTCTGCGACAGCTCATACGATTTGATAACGTTGTCGACAATCACCGTAGTGGTGGAGGGATCAGCATCGAAGGCATCAAAGACTGGTGCTGGATGAACACCCATAAAGGCCGCTCCCGAGGTGGTCGCGTACAGACTCGTCATATCGCTCGTGGAATCAGACGTGCCCGTAAACAGCGTCCAGGGAAGCAGCTGCTCGGTCTGATAGTAAGCGATGCTGTTGACGGTGGTGTTTGGAAATCTTTGGTAGATCGAAGAATGGATGAAAATTTCGGCCGGTCGAAGCGGGGCAGCATAGCCAACAAGAGCGGCTGAAGTGACGAGCGAATCGTTAATCCTGACGACGGCAATGTCGGCAGGAGTGATTTGAGCTGCGGTTTTGCTGCCTGCAGTGATGAGAAACGTTGTGTCGGGCGAAAGAGGATCGCGAATCGAAATGTGGCCGAGGCCGTCGTCAGCGATGCCCTGGTAGGCTAGGATGCGCGATGCGTTGACGAGTTGATTGACCGCCAGTTGGCGCGGCGTCAGAGACGGAAGACTGAGGTGCGACGAGAGGGAGTACCGATGTTAAGGATCGAACCGAGATGGAAAGGTCAGCTACGCATCTCACTTGAAGACCGCGATGTGACAGTGAGGTCTGGCTTACGCTTGAGTAACAACAATCTCGACACCAGCGAACAACCACGCGAGCGACCTGAAAATGGTAGAGTACATCATCTCGGTGAGGATGCGGCGGATGCCAGAGACAGTGCAGGTGGTGCAGGCGTGCTTGAGACCCACCCTTGACGCATCTGGGTGGTGGGGGTGTCGCCAGGTTCGGATTGTCTCCTTATATTCTTCCCAGCGCGTACGACGTGGCTGAGTTTTGTGACGCAAGCTCGTTCCAGACTCCCGCCTTGCTCGAGCGAGACTCTTGCTGATCACGCATGCCTCGTATCGAATCACATTGTGATTGTGTCGAAAATCTTTCCCACGCCTGCAGACGCAGAGCAACGCACGCAAAGCAGCAAGCACGGAACCACCGATGATGGGCCATCTCGAATCGGAACGTCCGACTCCTTGTGTCACCGGTCGTCAGAACGCGAGTCGCAGGCAGCGGAAATCCCGAGATTGTGCTTAATTTTTGATATCCCAGGCAAGCCCGAACCGGGCACATCGTTCATAGCAATCCGCTTCAAGGTCGACTGCGCTGACGAACACAAAGTTGCGCGCAAAGATGCGTCCGAATCATCCAATACCGATTCATTAACGGGAACGAGTACGAACTAGTTATACTGTACATCAATTTGCGAAAATTGAGCGGGTGGACCTTGACAGCTGTCAAACAGACTTTGTCGGACAGAACACAGAAACGGCCCCTGTAGGGTATCGGAAACAGGGTGCCACTCTACGACGATGACGTCGGCTTTTCCTTTTGCTGCTTTTGCTTTGCTTGCGCCTGCTGTGCCTTCGCCATGGTCTTTCGCTCAAAGTGCATCCAGAAGGGCAGCGTGAGCAGAATGACCGCCAGCCAGGCCCAAAGAATGCCAAACCACTTGAGCATCTCGACACGCTGACCCACGTCAAAGATGATCTTGACGTAGATTTGACGGATGCTGTAGAATGGCATCGAGTAGCCGTACCTGTAAAACGACGGTGAAAGCTCGATCGGAAGGTTGGCGACCGAAACATTGATGATGATCCAGAACACGAGGGTGAATCCAATGAACTTGGGACCGACGATTGAGATGAAACACTCGGTCACGAAGCCGAATACGCACATGCCGACAAACGTCGCGCACCACCACGTCATGAATCCTGCACCGTAGCTGAACGTGCGTCCAAATGGTACGTTGAAAGGGATGTTGAGCAACGAGATCATGAGCGAAATGAAGAAGTAGGCAATCAACGGCACGACGATGCGCATTGCTACCAGAGATCGGAATTTGAGGAATGGCTGCAGCGGCTGTCTTGCTCCAAAGTTGGCCATCGTAGAGATGAACGCCAGAATGACGAGGTAGATGAGACCAACAACGAGCACAGCGATGGCGACAGGCACGTCGTACGGGCGCAGATCACGTTGCAAGGGAATGATGGGTTGGGTGATGGTCTGCGGTGCCCTGGCGAGGTTGTTGATGGCGGTCTGGTTGCTGGCGATCGTTGACAGATACTCTCCAGCGAGTTGCGCGCCGAGCTGGGCCAAGGCCTTGTTGAGCGTTTCCATCGCCGGCGAGAGAACAGTAGCGGGGATCACCTGGAAGTTTCGGGACGTCGCGTATGTGAGCGAGACCAGAGATTGCGGGTTCCACGATGCATCACCGTTGGCACGCGCCTGCTCGAGCTTGGAAGTTGCGTCCTCGGCAACGGTCACGACCATCCAGGTGGAGAGTGCGTTGGTCACCTCGTAGTCAACCTGGTCCTGTGAGGAGAATCGAGAAGGGTCGATGACGGTCCAGGTGCTGTGCGGCTTCGGCCCATTGTTGGCGTCGAGCAAGGCCTGCTGTACCGTTGAGCCGACGATGCCCGAGTCGCGGTTGATGATCCAGGTACCGAGGTTGGGCGAAAGATCGAGCTCCTTGTATACGGAGCCCCAGTAGATCGCCACGACGGCCCAGATGATAATCATGATGAGCACCACCGTCGCGCCCACACCTTTGAGATAAGCGGCGCGTTGCGCCTTGATACGCGGTGACCAGAAGCCCTCCTGACCGAGTTGCGGCGGCTGACGCGCCGGTGTCGCTGTACTCGTCGACTCATCCGAGTTGACTTTGTCGTGATTCGAAGCATGATTGGGGGAGGGAAGGGCGGTGGAGCTGGCGCCAGCCGAACTGTGCGAGGCTGGGCGTTGGACCGAAGTCATTGCGCAGCGATGTGTGTTCCGAGCGATGAGGGGAGCGAGCACAATGAACAGTTACCGAGGTGGATAACGGATGAAACAGGGATCGAGTGGGTTGAGGGATGGAATCGAACAGGGTTGAGAGTCAGAAGAGGCTCGTGTCTTTATATGGCAATGGTGATGGAGCGACCGGAGGGACGGAGTGTTATGATCCAATCAAGGGCTTGTGATGGGATTGGTAGGTTTGGGTTGTGTAAGTTACTGCAAGTCAAGCGCAGACGACAGCATTCAGAGACCTGCCGGTGTACTTGCGGATTCAGCAGTTGTAGGCGCAGCGTCGTACAACGCGAGGCAGAGCCAAGTTATCGGCGTTCGTAGATTGCTGAGTCTGCATGCATTCAAAAGCTTCCGCGGGAACGAAAACGTGGCTCTCGTCGTTTGGTGTCCTCCGCCTGACGCCGTCAAACCAGCTGTGACTAGAGGCGAAGTGCGGACATGGCTTCTCCTCGGACCCCGGGTAAGAGGAGTCTAAACCAGCAAAAACCAATCTCAGAAAGCCTTCCGCAGGCTCGGCGATTCGAAAAAAGTCGCCCATCCGCGGCATTTAGTTGTTGTGGGCTGCTGACCTTTTTTTTATTTTTAATCCGCGCGCGATGTTCTCATGATCTGCTGTACAAATTTCCAAAACTTTTTCGAACTTGATCATCGAGATTGTGGAATGCTCGGGATTTGCAGAGCTTGCTACGTCAGTCATAGCTTGGCAGTTTGCTCAAACTCCATCAGAAATCGCATCTTGCATCGCTCCATCAGCTTAGATCCTAACACGCCTTTCTGGTCGATCATGAATGGAGCGTTGACTACTAGCACTTGGCTTTCTACTCATGCAAAGCAGCGGAAGGAGTTTCGAAGTGAGGCAAATGCATCACTGCGCTCTCTGTTGTGAATGTCACTTCTCGTGTGCAAGCCACGCGGCAATTTGTAACGGCTTTTCCGCGGGGCCACGCGACTAAGTTGACCGCAGACCACATCGTCTCAGACGTTTGTATCTCCGATAATGTTTTCGCCTCTTCCACTTTCGGAAAGCATGAGCGCGGCGTTTCCGATCTACTCATCGCAAGGCCCGCGCTGGGAGCTCACCGAAGCTTCTCCGCGGCCGCAAGGTGTTGATCTACGTGCCTCTCATGTCAAGCCGTCTTCCTCCAGGGAGTTGCAAACGACCCTTGCGATGTTATCTGATTGCTTCCAAAGCTCAAAATGATGATACAGAAAGATAGTAAGGCACCATCTCGACTGCGCACCATGTCAATAGCCACCGCGTTGCAGTTCAATGGCTCCGAGGATGAGCAAGGCAAAACCGAACGGAAGAACCGCGGCGAACACGACCACGTCCTGATAGATGCGTTTGCCACGGGTTCGCCGTTGCAACTGTCGTTCCTTGCGGGCCAGCAGGATTGTCGTGGCCTCGTCTCTATCGTCGCTGCTCTGCTCGGTCAAGTGACTCGGGATCGAGGCGGATTCGCGATCCAGATTGATGGATCCACTGTGACGGCTCGATGTCGCGATACCTGCTGATGCTGACTGTTGATCATTCGGCTTTGCCTGTGACGCCTCGGACTGCTCAGCCGCCTCATCATCGCCTTGATCGTCTAGCAACGGCTGCCTTTCGGCCTCTCCGCCGGCTGCATCCCGAGATCCGAAGAGATACTTGCGGTTGCGAGCCAGCAACGACAATGGTCCTGAAAAGTACGCAGATGCGGTCTTGCCGATCTCGCTCGCAAACGGTGGCAGAATAGCTCGTGGACGTCGAATGTGAAATAGGATCATCCACACCAGACCAGGCATCACGAAGCCAACTGCAGCGCCCATCAGACCCAGCACCTCGGCAGCTCGCGTGAACCTCGCTTCTTCACCTTCCTTTTCGCTCCTTCGGAAGCCTCCCGCACCAGACAGGTAGGCGCTCGAGGCAGTGATGCCCCAGAGCAACACGCCAGCAAGCGCATTTCTTGCCGGCTTGCCCCATTTCCGCTTCCACTTGCCGAATTGCGATTCGTCCTGCGTTGCATTGTTACCCGCCAGTTGCGATCCTACGCCTGAAACGCTCTCGTCGGCATCGTCAACAGGAAGCTGGATCGGTTGCCTGCGCCTGCGCAGAGGGTTGAGATTGAGCAACCGCAGCAGTCTGCCCCACGATGAGCGTGCTGTCGTCAGACAGATGGCCAGATGTGTCGCGAGGATTGCCACGAACAGGACACGTGCAACGTTGGTCCAATCGTCGTCACTGGGTAGTGATGCAAACAAGTTGGGATGGACGTCCTTTCGCAATCTGCCTTGAACGCCCTTCACTCCAGCTACTATGCCGAACAAAATAGCCATAGCGATGACGAACAAGACCTGTCCTGCCTGCGCGCCAAGGAACGCTTTGACGTTGGAACGTGATGTCCCGATGCGTCGCAGACTACGCTGATGAGCGAGGATCTGAAGCGGACAAGCACTCAGCGTCAACAGCGGCAGCAACGAGATGGGTGCCCAGATCGATGGGGGATACAACGGATTCGCGTTTGGCCACCGACTGCCTTTGTTGAGATCGGGCGTCCCAATGTGGAGTAGTTGCAACCCCTCAAATTGCGGTGAGGGGGTGGCCATCGCTAGAGGCGGTGATGTGGCAAAGATCTTGACCAAGACGATCGTAACAATGACGGGATAGAACGTCAATGAGAAGAAGGTGTTGAGCCGGATCAGATTGCGTTTGGCGAGAGGAAAGATGACCAACGGCACCGAGATAAGTCCGCCCACCACCAGCGTCACAAACGCTCGATCGTGAAGCGGCACGCCACGGGGAGCATAGTTGAAAAAGACCTGAAGGAGCAGGTCGGCCAGTGCGAAGTAGCCGATGATGGCGCTCCCCGTTGCGTAGAGCGCAAGCAGCAACCCCGATACGACTCTGCCAAGACCTCCTTTCCATGGCGTGTACCTGCCAAAGCTGGCGCCCACGATCGCTTCGATGGAGCTGCCGTTGACGTAGCGACTCAACACCACCCAAAGACCACCGCCGACACCTCCCAGCACCGCGACACCCACCAAAGCAATCATCCCTACCACGATACCTGTGCGTGCAAAGTAGTGCGGCATCGAAAGCAGCACGGCAGGATGCAAGCTCGCCGAGAATAGATTCGCCGAGACATGCGGTGCCGACAAGCTAGCGGGCGTGCTAGGATTCGTGAGGAACTTCCACCATGCTCTGCGGTGCTCGCGAGTTGGCCGCAGAGACTGGAGCACCGATTCGGGCTGGCCACGCTTCGTTTTCCTCCTTCTCTTGACCGCTGCACTGTTGCCAGTCGCCGAGAGAGGCAGCGTACGATCCTCGTGGATGGCCGCTTGCTCTTGATCCTCTTCATCGCTGCTATCGTCCCATGCCTGACCTACGTTGATGCGGCCCTTGCGCATGAAAGCGTCAAATTCGGACGCTGCATCGCTGTCGGCTTCTTCCAGCTCGCCCGTATCGATGCGTCTTGAAAGTGGACGAAGAGAACTGAATCGAGACGAACCAGCACTGTTGTGAGCTTGAGTTTGGTTTCCAGCGTCTTTTCCGGGACGAGCAGATGATGAGGCTGTTCGTGGGTCATCGTCTGTGGGTTCAGAGTGATGATGAATGGAAAGATGCGACGGCTGCGTCGAAACGGTCGGATAAGACGTTGCCCCTCCACGGCTTGGTGAAGGCGATGTCGGCATGTCGAGTGTCCCTGTCAGCCCTCCCGTACTTCGCTCTTGCAGTTCGCTGCCTGCTGAAGATGGGATAGAGCTGGTGATCGTTGGTGGATGGCTGCGACTTTGCCAAGACCCTCGATTTGTGGAGGAAAAATGAACCACGACCTGAACAGTGCGACACGCTTTTCTGTCTAATGACGCGGCAGGCCAAGGAACAGCACCACCAAAATTTCAAAAAAGCTCAGAGCGAGGCAGATGAAGAAAAAAACGGGGGCCAACCCGGAATCGAACCGGGGACCTCTGTCAACTTAGTGCAATCTCCTGAAAGGAGAGGAAGCCCTAAGACAGCATAATAAGCCACTATACGATTGGCCCGCGTGTATGATAAGCGGATCAGCTGTTGCATATATATGTTATACTATCAAAGAATTTGTGCTCACAGCCCTCGTCCGCTTCCTGTGGGCAAAGGTGACCGACTGACTACACATGCCTCAACAGCTTGACGTGGTCATTTCCTTTCAAGTGGATGTGTGTGAACGTGATTTCCGGTTACTGAATCACTGAGACTTAGTGCTTGGTGAGCGAGAGAATATCGGAGGAGGGCACGCCAGACCAACCGCGCTTCTCGTAATCGGCCAAACTGGCGACCATATCCTGAACAACGTCCTTGAGTTCGATGTAGTTGAGACCGAGCACGCGGCTAGCCTTGGAACCATCGAGCTCGTTCTGCTTGACCGACGAACCGGCGCCCTGCTTACCGGTGGGCACCTGCTTCTTCCATTCGGCGGGCACGTTGCTATCGTTGTGGATGACGTCGACGACGTCCTGGTAGACGAAGGGGCCGAGCGAGGTTGCGAAGCGGTTGGAACCGGCATCTTCGCGGACCAGAGACTCTACGTGTACGTAGGCGACATCGCGCACGTCTACACAGTTACCGGCGGGAGCAAGCAGATCGTCCTCCTTCTTCGAGCCGTGCAGCAGTCCCCACACAAATCCAACCGAGGTGTTGAGCTTTTCGGGAGAAGCGACCTGGTGGAGGATGGGACCGAAGACGAGAGGAGGGTTGACGGTGACGAGGTCCCAGCTAGGCTTGTTCTCGTCGACAAACTGCCAGGCAGCACGCTCGGCCATAGTCTTGGAAGCGCGGTAGGCGTCAGGAGCCTCCTGATCCTTGCCCTTCTTTTCGACGTTCTCGACACTGGAGATGTTCCAGTCCTTTTCGGTATACACGATGTGACCTTGGCGGGTCGAGTCGAGGATGGCAGCGAAGGAGGAGGTGATGACGACGCGCTTGACGTTGCTGCCGTGCTTCAGGATGGAGGAGAGCACATTCCTGGTACCGTTGACGGCGGGGTTGATGAGCGTTCGCTTGGGATCGCCTTCGACGTTGAAGTGGAAAGGCGAGGCGGTATGGAGGACGGCGTCGACGCCCTTGACGGCGTCGTCGAAGGCACCTTCCTTCTCGAGATCTTCGGCGATGGCGTAGCTCAGGTTGTCGCCATACTTTTTGAAGACGTCCTGGAGATACTTGCCCTTGTCGTCGGAGCGGACGGTAGCACGCACCTTGTGACCACGTTCGAGGAGCTGGTAGACGGTCCAGATGGCGATGAAGCCGGAGCCGCCGGTGACGAGGACATGCGAGTTTGGCTGAATGGCTGGCATTGTCGATGGAATGAGGTGTCTAAGTGAGGAGGATGGGATATCGCAAAGAGGTGATTGTGGCGAAGGACAAGGATGAGGATTCTACGTCAAGGCAGACTGGAGCCGGCGGTCATCAGGGTGGAGGCTGGCGCGCCTGTTCGTGCTTGCAACGACACGATCTGACGCCACGAGGCAGCTGCTTTCGTCATGTGCGGCGGAAGAGTTTGCATTGCCGTGTCATGCTTCATTTGGCAATTCATTTCTTCGCTCTGCAGGCGAGCCTAGACCGGCAAACCTCCACAAAGAGCGGGCCAGTGCGCAAAATGAAAACTTGCGCTGTCGGCCGATTGTGTCTTGGGGCGGTGGAAGAACTCGCGAGCTTGTGACAATGATTGCCGACACCATGTTGGCACTACCTCGCATCGCATTGTCCTTTGGAAGCTGTTGTTGGGCTGACTCGCGTTTGCACCAGGCATCTTTTCGATCGCAGCCTAGCCTATCCCGGCCCTCATCGGCCGCTGTGCAGATGGTAGAATCAAGTGCGGGCTCGACTTCGCGCATCGTCGTTGTGGGAGTTGGAGGTGCCACGTGCTCCGGCAAGACGACGTTGGCGAAGCACCTACTCCAAATCCTGAACAACTCACCCGACAACTCCGGCAGCAGCCGCCACAGCCATCACGGCGGCATCAAAGACGCGTTCATCCTGCATCAGGACGACTTTGCGCCGCCAGAGGCAACACTGCCGGTGGACGAAAAGTATGGCGTCACAGATTGGGACCACCCACCAACAGCAGTGAGTAGGCACACGAATCGTTCTCATGCATAGACATATGTGGCGAGGCTGACATCTGGGCTCTCTCTTTCACTAATAGATCGACTACAAACGAATGCATAGAACCATTCAGCACATCAAATCGACCGGCTCGTTCCCGCCCGAATTCTCCTCCCACGACCACCTGAACAGCCAGCCCGACTGTCCCATATCCGAGACTGTTTCAAGGACATGGAAGAACAAGTTCTCCTCGCTGGCATCTGCGAGTGTATCTGGCCAAGGGTCAGTGCGAGTGATGCTGGCGGACGGGTTCCTGCTGTACTACGATCCGGAGGTGCGCTCGACGATGGATGTCAAGGTCTTCCTTCGCACGCCGAGGGCAGTGCTGAAACAGCGGCGCGAGGAGCGCTTCGGGTACGCTACAGCGGAGGGCACCGTATGGAAGGATCCTGAGGGCTACTTTGACAATATTGTCTGGCCGGCGTACGAGCTGGCGCACAAGGGCGTTTTCAGCAACGGAGATGTGGAAAAGGGCGAGCCGATACGTCCAAGTGCTGATCAAGAGGTGACGGCAGGCGGGCCTGTTGCAGAATTGACAGTGCTCGATGCAGATCCGAGCCAAGTTGGTGCGCAGTCAGGACAGACCTCGAGCGACAGCACGTTTTCGAAGGAGATGACCTTGTTGGTGGACCAGACGTGCGCTGCGATATGGGATTTCCTCACCACAAAGCTTTGATCCGCATTGTTGTATAAGCAATACAGTCCCGTCACCTTCCCATCTGCCTGTTTCCTCTGGTTCGAAGAGCCAGACGTTCGTGAGCAGAGTGTCATAGCATCCGATAGGTCGGATGGTGTCTTGCTAAGGGGATGATTCGGGATATCGGGCCCGATCCGACCTGAGGATCATTGATGCATCGTGGCTTCTGAATTTCGAAGAGATTCCTTTGTGCTGGCTCTCACTCTCGACAGCGCAACACACTCGACACGCCGACTGGAATCTACGCAAAGGCCTCGCCAAGGCCACGCCACTAAAACAATTGGATTCGCGAATTTCCTTCGTGAAACGCTCGCCCGCTCGGTCGCTCGTTGGACCCGCGGAGCCAGTCAGCGTGAGATTCGAGAGAAGAGCGCTTAGCAGTGTCGAGTTTGTCTCGGAGAGTGTGCTCTTCTGCAGCCGACGAAAGCGATTCGTGTCAAATTCGCGCTCAGCACCGTCCACCTTTGCGTCGAGAATTCGGCTTCGTCGTCGTCGTTGTCGTCGCCGTCATCATCCTCGTCATCACCGTCAAGTCACCAACATCGCCACCTTCAGACACAGCCTCTTTTTTGGCATTTCCCTCATTTCGCACGGTTTTCTGTCGTGCTTTTCAGCCGTTCGATCAAATCATCGCCACATCGTCTTTCTGTCGCAGATCTAAGGCAAATATGTTCATCATCAACTGGTTCTGGGACATCCTCGCCCAACTCGGGCTGGCGCACAAGAACGCCAAGATCCTCTTCCTCGGTCTCGACAACGCGGGCAAGACCACGCTGCTTCACATGCTCAAGAACGACCGACTGGCCACACTGCAACCCACGCTGCACCCTACCTCGGAAGAGCTGGCGATCGGACAGGTCAAGTTTACCACATACGATCTCGGTGGACACCAGCAAGCGCGTCGACTCTGGAAGGACTACTTCCCCGAAGTGGACGGCATCGTCTTCCTGGTCGACACGCAGGACCACGAACGATTCGCCGAAGCACGGGCCGAACTCGACGCTCTGCTGTCGATCGAGGAGCTCTCCAAGGTTCCATTCTTGATCTTGGGTAACAAGATCGACGCTCCCGGCGCAGTGTCCGAGGAGGAACTGAGACAGGCCATCGGGCTCTACCAGACCACGGGTAAGGGCAAGGTGCCGCTCAAGGACATCCGTCCCATCGAGATCTTCATGTGCTCCGTGGTCATGCGTCAGGGTTACGGCGAGGGCTTCCGATGGGTCTCGCAGTACATTTGAAGACCAACCACCAACACGTGCCCTCGGCGAGCGATCCAGCATCATCAGGTCCCTTGCCCTATCACTCACATACTTTGTCAATTTCGACCGACAAACTGCATCACGAACGCTCCATCCTCTGCCACCAAACCTCCCCCCTTCTTTTTGTCTTCACCGTTGTACGCCAGCCTCACGGCTTCTTTCCTGTTCCGAATTGCTCAAAAAAGTTCCAAGCCATTCTCTGAACGGCCGTCCTTGCAGGCCCCTCGTTGCGGATCCATGAGTCCAACCACGATGTCACATGTGTCCAGGCGCTCAGTTGAACACGATGAGCCATCATCACTACGATGCTTGTCGAGATTGAGGTGCCATACGAAGCCAAGCTATATACATGAAAGTGCGAAGATCAGAGATACACCCTTTTCGTCGGTCGAATGGCTGGAATCGTCATGCAAGTGTACAGATATTTTTGACCTAGACAACGGTCTTCTTGCCTTTCTTCTTCTCGCTCTCCTTGTGGCTCTGGAACTCGACATCGCTGGTCAGCCCAGCACCGATCTTGGCATCGATATCGTAGCCGAGCACGTTGACCTTGAACTGTTTCCCAATGTCGAGCAACTTTGCAGCCAGCTCGTCCGTGTCCTCTGCCTTTCTTGTCCAGATGGCGATACGGTAGAAGTTGGCACGTGCCGACATGATGACACCCGTCACGAGCTCATCCTCTGGGCTGCTACTTGGAGGTGGGTTTCCGTTGGGGAAGGGTGCTTCGAGCGTCTCTCCGATGGCGGCGAGCATGGTGAAGAGCCACAATCGATCAATCTGCGCGCGCGTCTTGTCTCGAGGAAGCTGGATGCTCCATTTGCCGCCGTTGGTGTTGGCGGGATCCTCCCACGCCGGCTTGACACCTTGCTTGAAGAGGTAGTAGTTGGCCTTTTGCGGCAGCTCGGAGGGTGGAACGATGTTGTTGTAGAGGCCCCAGAACTCTTCGACGCTGTCGAAATCGACCACCTTGTTCATGTCGTCACCCCAGCTATCCTTGGAGCCGCGTGCGGAAGCCATACCCTTCTGAGATGGGTTGTCGAACCACAACGTCCACGAGTTGTACAGAGGGTGCTTGACGTTAAAGTTGCTGGCGTCCTGGAAGACGGTGCGGTACTCGTTGGCGTTGGCATCCGTATTTGATGCGGCTTCGGCAGTGGCAGCTTCGTCAGATGAGGCAGCAGCAGCAGCATCACCGTTGACAGTCTGGTTGACAGCTGAGTCGAGAGCGGCCTGAGAGGCATCCGCCGGTGGTTTTGGGAGGTCGGTAGTGGCCGACATTGTGAGAGACTATGTAGATGCGTGTCTTTCGAATAGAATTCTGGTGCGTTTGCGGCTCGATGGATCTAGAAGCTGCGGCAGATACACGATTGTATAGTATGATGCGAATAGAGACTGACAATGATCAAAAGCCCGTGTCGAAAGCCGTGAAGATGCGAGTAGCGAGCGCGCAATGCAGAAAGAAGAGGCGGACGAGATGCAAGAGATGCAACGAGCGCGTGAAGTTGATCAAGATAGCCCGACGAATGCGAAAGTACGCCTAAGTATCCCTCGTGACTTCCGGTGAGTAGCAGATGCGTTGGATGAGACCCCTACGAACGAAACGGCGCGCGGAGAGGAAGAAGGGAGATGGTGATGAAAAGATGAAAGAGAGCTGAGCAACGGCCAAAAGCCAAAAAGCCAAAGAAAGCTCAGAAGATTCTGCCAAAAGCGTACACCGCGCCAGAGCAGGGAAATTTGCAACGTTCGAGCGGGTTGCAGCTTGAGTCTCTCGATTCGACATGAGAACACCTCGCGGCAAAAGAAAAATTCCGCGCTTTTGGGCCTGGCCACTCGAACCAAATACAAACTGAACCAGCCACGATTAAGAATCGAGCCACGAACCAATACAAAAATCCTCGCTCGACGCTGCGCAAACATCGGGTCCCGATTCAGTCGACAGTCTGTAACTCAAACCAACAACGCATCATGCCATTGATTCGCATGGCAATTGCTTGCTTACAGTAGCCAAAACAGGCTACACCTTCCACTTCCGCATCCTCTTGACTGAGCGGGGATGATTGCCCGTCGACTTGGCCGAAGCGCCGCTCGCAGCCAAGCCACCGCTGGCGATGGTGCTGCCTGGCGCATACCACACGTTCTTGTAATTTACCGCACCCGGCAACCTGACACCTAGCTGATCGGGAGCCGTGGCGCCGCTACCGTCTCCCGCACCTGTCAATGCGCCGCCATACGCTTCTCCATGCGCTCCAACAATAGACTGAGATCTGGATCGGTATCCACCCGCACCTGCGCCGCTGGCGCCGGATCCAAAGTACTGCCCGTACGCTCCCACAGGTGTCGGTGGGTAGGGGGTTGGAAATCCTCCTGGATTTGCCGACGCAGGTGTAAGCGGCGACATGAGCGGCTCGCCTCCCCAGCCCATCGACATACCCATGCCGATCGGTGTGCCCGATGCTCCGCTCGCGCTCGCAGCTCCACCGACGCCCAGAGCAGTCGATGCTCTGCGGCTGGCGATCGGCGTCGATGGTTGCGTCTGCGTAGGCGAGTTGAAAGCGGAAGCTGAAAGACTGATCTTGCGGTTGAGTCGCAGTGTCAGTCCGCTCACACTAGCGCCGCTGGCGGGTGTCTTGGGTACTGCGAAGCCTCCACTCGCAGATGCCGCCACTGACGTGGACGGCGGAGGAGCTGAAGAGGTCGGAGATACCTCCTTCCTTGCCGCGGCAGACGCTGCTTGATCTGCGCTCGATGTGGTGATGGCAGCCTTCGTGTGTGTCGACGAAGAGGCGTATGCTGATGCGGCAGCACCATCCGTGTTTTGAATCAACTTCCTCAATGAAGCCTCGACCAGCCTAGCATTGGCGAGCTTCCGGTTGACCAACACGAGCGGATCCCTTTTGCCTTTGCTCGCTTCTTCGTCAGCATCACCGGCACCACCCAGCAAGGAGCCGTAGGCGTTGGTCGGATACGCAGGCGTCTGCATCCATGCGTGTCTGGGTGGCATCCCCGGCAAGTGACGCGGGACGACGTGGTTGGCCACCCGTCGCCACGCCTGTTCTCCGGAGGTGAGCGCTCTGAGATCCCTCGAGGATGTTGAAGTGCTTTGCTCTCCCGACGAAGGTTGACGCAGCTTCTCCTGTCGACGTTGCTGCTTTGCTAGTGCACGCGCATTGTCGTGCTTGCGCTTCATGACTCGAGCATGCACCGCGGCGCGGCGGTTGCCGTGCTCGTCGTCCGAGTCGCTGCTGACAGACCATGCATCCATCTCCGAGCCGTCGTCCGAGTCGGACGGCAGAAAGGCGTCGCTTGCCTGCGTCCAGTCTTCGTTCTCCTCCCGTACACTGCCTGCATCTCGTATCCGCCTAGCTGCTCGAGTTCTGGCTGGATATGTCTTTGGTGCGCTCGCATGCTCCTTTGCCTTGGCTCTTGCCTTGCTAGTCTCGTCTGCATCATCAACTGGCTCTTTTCGGTGAAAGTCTCGCAGTTCGCGGATGGGCTGACCGTGCGTCTCGAGCGCATAAATGAGATCTCTGGCCGAGGGTTGATCTCGAGAAGACATCTCGGCTGCGTGCGTGGCTGCCGAGAAGACCGAAGTGAGGAAATTTTTCGCGAGTTGGCTGACCTCGTGCAGTGCCGAAGAAGTGGTGGCGTCGAAGCCTGCTCGCTTTGCCTGCACCGCTATGAGCTGAAAGAGCGCTTCATTTGCGCTCGGCTCGTCAATGTGAGGTATCGAGTAAGGAACGCGAGAAGACGAGGCGATGGACGTGAGCGGCGGGCAATGCGTGGTGGGCTTCTGCTTGCGTTTTGGTTGATACGGCTTTTCGTGCTCTGCATCCGCTGCAGCTTGTCCTGAGGCGTAGTCGATAGCGGTGACGGGTCTCGATGGTGTATCTGTGCTGGATTGCTGCTGCTGCGATGCTGCTGAGGAATAGGCGGTCTTGTCGCTCGAAGATGCAAGCTGGGCATCCGCTGCTGCGCGACCGTTCGCTTTGGTGTCACCGTCGCCGAACAGCTTTGCCGAGGAGGAGGTCATGGCCCAGCTGGGCACGCTTCCTGCCGGCATGACTGTGACGCCGATTCCTTCGGTTGCTGCAACGGGCTACGCAGTTGAGACGATGAGTGTTGAACGGGAAGGTGCGATGCGAGGTAGTCATGTTCATCTTGCGAGAATTGCGAATCCGAAAGCAGGGTGGGGATTTGATCTAACATTCAAGAACCTGCGGTTGAACGGCGTAACAGTAAAGAAAAAGTCCCCCTCCACCTCTCCCAGAAGACAATTGGCTCATGCTCGTTCGCCACGGCGCAACATTCTACCGCCTACTGGTATCCGCCTTTCTCCGTCTTCCACCAAGCAACACTCTCTCGACAGGATTCGGTTCAGCACATGGCAGCTGTCAGTCGGACCCGTCGTACATCATCCCTTCTTTCCTATAGGTTTTGCACCTCGCTTTTCTGTCCGCTCGCTCGGTCCTACTCACAGACTACGCCTGACAGCGAAATACAGCAAGCTCGAATCGAACGACTCAAAGCGCTTCGACGAAAGTTCTCCATACCACCGCCACCGTCTCATCTCTCCGCCACTCCCAGAATGTCGTACCAGCCACTCTACAAGTACATCGATCGCGATAGCCTCGCTGACCAAGTGCGAAAGCACGGCTCCGATCCATCACAACGCCAAGTAGCCATCGTCGACGTACGAGACGACGACTTCGAAGGCGGAAACATCTTCAATGCGCAGAATCACCCTTCCTCGACATTCCCAGACAAGGTGCAGGATCTCGTCTACGGACCGCTCAAGGACTACAAGCAGGTCATCTTCCACTGTCATCTTTCGCAGCAGCGCGGTCCCAAAGCCGCGGGTCAGTATGCACAGGCTAGACAGGCGGCCATCGACTCAGGAAAATTGCCAAAAGAGGAAGCGGACAAGCAGCAGCAAGAGGTGTTGGTCTTGAGAGGCGGGTTCAGCGAGTTCCAGGACAAGTACAAGAAGGATGCTGCTGTAGTGGAGAAATACGACGCTTCTGCTTGGGAGTTCCGCAACTAGAGGAAGAGGTGTCACAGGCATTCAATCGTAGACGATGCAAATGACCCCTTCGATGAAGTCACTACTAGCACAGGAGATCCTTCGGTCTGTGGTAGCGGTGTGCAGCTGCTTTGCGTGGATCACAAATTGCTAGCTCTCGCCTTTGCTCTGTCCGCCTGGCGTTGTTGTTGCGAGCGATTGACAAACGCACCCACCGCACCTTCCTCGAGCAGCTTGGAGAGACTCTGCAAGCCCAGCTCGAATTCCGTCTGCATTGCCTTCCTCAATCCTCCCTTGAGCCTGAGATCCACCTTGCCACCCGCATCCTTCTCTCTTATATCCGCCGCATCCGTCGGATCTGCTGTCTCTGCTGTCATCCCGTACACAGCGTTCAACATGCTGGCCCTATCGTTCAACATACACGTCTGAGGGTTCGCAGCCAAACCCGCCGCGATCTGCAACGACTTTTCCACCACCCTCGAAAACCCTCCCTTGCCCCTCGCCTCTCCACTCGGAACGACAACGTTGACCAACCCGATGCTCTCCGCTTCCTTCGCACTCACCAGCCTTCCCGTCAGCGCCAGGTCTGCCGCCCTCGATCCTCCCACCAGCGCTGGCAGCCTCACCGTCCCCCCATCGATCAAAGGAACACCTCTCAACCTGCACAGTATCCCAAACTGCGCCGTCTCGCTCGCCACCCTCAGATCGGCCCACAATGCCAACTCCATCCCCCCTGCAACGGCGAATCCTTCCACAGCAGCGATCACGGGTTTGTTCATCGCTAGTCGTGTCACTCCCATGGGTGCGATTGCGTCCATATCCGCATCCAGAAGGTTGCTTTCTCCGACGCTCTCCTGGGACGATGTCGAGGCTTGGTCGGTGTGGAGATTGGAGTGAAGGATGGATTTCAGATCGGCTCCGGCGCAAAACGTTTCGTTGGCACCGGTGAGAATCGCCACTCTCAGAATGTCGTCGTTGGCAAAGGTGACGAAGGCCGAGTGCAGCGCGAAAGCGGTTTCTCGGTCCACTGCGTTTTTGACAGAAGCTCGATCGATCACGCATACCATCGCCATGGCGCGTGAGGCGGATGCTGCGAGACGCGGTGAGAGGGCATCGTCGTAAGGGTGTAGATCGACGTGGTAGACTTTGACTTTGCCTCCTGCAAGCGTCTGCGTGGGTGTGGGCAGCGACATGACTGGGTCAAATCCTGAGGGTACAATCTCAGGCTTGTGGGAACGATGATAGCTTTCTTGTCAAGAGTCGTTATGCTCCTATATTTTTGGGTAGGTGTCGCAGAGTCGAAGAGGTGAGGAGGAAAAGGTCAGTGCGTGAAGGATTCCGGTAATTCAGCATTGCCGACAAGCGAAATGGAGACCCTGGGAACACTGCACGCCGACTTCTCTCACACGTCAACTTGTGCCGCCGCCTCATCTTCTCGTGCTGGCCAGCCTCTGTTTAGCAGGATATATCGTCGTGATGACCTTTGTTCGGCGCAGAAATCGTCCTCGACCACGCAGCGGAGATACCAGCTCCAGTCAGCTGAAGGTTTTCTTGTACCCCGAATCACGACCTCGCACACAATCCTCGGTGGTTTCGCTGGCCAGCATTGTTTTCTTATATCGTCAAAACCCGAGAACGTTACATTTTCAAGTACCCCCCGACCCCTACAACATCTGCCCTCTTCTCCCTCCATCCACTGGTTTTGAATTAGAACCTCCAGCCTTCCCTCTAGCCTTTCGTCTCTGTGTCGCGACCATCGCTGTAGCTTCCCAGCGCCACATTCACCGCAGCTTTCAATCTCCTCCCTCCTCCTGTCTCCTCCGCCCTATCTCTCAACCATCGCTGTGGCTACCAGCACCACGATCGCCACAGCACTTGACGAACTTTCCCAGGTTGATACCATTACCAAAACCCGCCGCATCCCAGCACTTGTGGTCGTTCTCCCAGAAAGCGGTGGTGCGGTGCTCGCGAGTGGCAGCACAGCAGTCCTTGGTGATCTGGTAGTCGGAGGGTCCGGTACCGTTGAGCTCGGTGGTACAGTAGGCCGAGTGTGCACTGTGCACCTGAATGATGAGCGCAGAGCTAAAGGCTACGACGAGCAGGAGAGCGGAGAGCTGCATCTTGAGGAAAAATTGAGGTTGTATTTTATTGAGTCAAGAGGGTGTGCTAGAGTTTTGTGGGAAGGGGCTGGGTGTAAGATGGTCGATGGAGCCGAGTGGTGAGACTGTCGAGAATGGGCGGGCTTGATATACCTTTCGAGCCATTGACTCCGAGGTGTTTGACAACTTGCATGCAGCGCAACTGGACGTAGCAAGTTGTGCAACGTCCACATCGAGATTCCTTTGATAGCTATGAGTAGTCCGCCGACGCTGACCCCGGACGTCTTCGTTTTGCCTGCGAAACGTACCTGAACACAACCGCATCAACTCTTGACAGCGTGGAAACGAGCAATGCTCTTTCGCTGAGGGTAAGGACAACGTGGGCTCGACAGATCCGGCTGTGACACACACCTGTTCGACATCCGACTTCGCCCCCGAGATCGAATGCGTCAGAGTGGACATACTTCCTCAGGCGCTGTCGACGTTCGGCATCGCCTTCCGTCAACTTTTCGCATGGAGCATCGACGCACATCTCAGCCGCACCCTAGTTCCCGAACGACCGACTATCTCTCTTCATCCCGAAACCTTGTCCTTCGTCTACGCCTTGCAAACCTCAACCGCACCCCGAACTCAATCACTCTCACAGCCACAAGCCTGCATCAAAGCAACCATGATATACATTGTTCATCGATCAACCGCCTCATACACTCGCCTTCTCACTTGGCAGAATCGAAGAACGCCACTCGCTCCTGCAACGTAGCCCTATGACCAACGGGTCTACCCTTTGCCGCGCCACTGAACGCCGCACTGACGGGCGTCGTCGCCATCGCGCTATCGTCAAACGTGTAGCTGGGCGTCCTACTGACCCTACCGCCTTGTCTCGCCGGAACCGTCGTGACAGCTCCCGTACCGAACGATGCTGGAGCGGGAGCAGGCAGTGTGAACCTCTTCTTCTCTACCAAGCCCAGCTTTGCGCTCGCAGTCGGACTTCCCATCGCCGTCGCTGTCGCCGTCGAGGTAGTGGAGCCACTCGAACCTCCTGCCGTGGCTGAAGCGAATTTGTGCGAGAACAGCTTGTTCGGCGAAATTCGACCCGTCGTCGTCGTCGTCGCAGGCGATGCCGTCAGGCTCGAACTGAAATGCTGCTTGATCGGACTGGTTGCTGGCGAAGGGATCGTTTCAACCTCGCTAATATCGCGACCCAAGTAAGGGAGACGCGACATCGTGACGCCCACACTGTCTGCCGAAGCCTCCTGTTTCGACCGTCTGTCCAGCAATGCAGCGGCAGGCTCGACGGTGGTGATGGGTGGCGCCTCGACAGTAGGTGTCAGAGGCTCCTCGACCGACCCGGAACCCGAGTTGGAGCTCGAATGAGACGACGATTTCGAGATGGCCACGTGGTGTTGCGACTGCCCATCCTCTTGGTGCGATTCGGCAGATTCGGAAGCCGCAGCGGCAGCAAAGGACGATGCGTCGATAGCGGCAAGCGCAGCAGCAATGTCGCTGCTTCCACTTTCATCCGCAGTTGCTTCTGCCTCCTCGACGACCCGTCTCCCTTCCGCCGCCGATCCTTGCGAGTGGGACAGCTTCTTAGCATCGTCCTTAGCCTCCACCAGAGCCTTCAATCTGTTCTCCACCGAGTTCTCCCGCTTGAATCCTCCTTCCCCCTCTGCACCCTGTTCCTTACCCAACGGCTGGCCCAGCACACTCGTAAACCTCGGCCTACCGTTCGGACTGACCGACCTATCCCTCACATTCCCCATCTCCTTGCCGCTCTCGCTCGCAAATCCAAAGTTCGCCTTCGTCGGCGAGCCATGCTTCCTCTCATCCTTACCCAATGCCGGCTTCGCTCCCGCAGGCAAGTTCAAGTTCCTCGGCACAGCACTATCGCCCGCCGAACTGGAAGTCTTCGTCTCCCCTTCCTGCACCACCTCCTTCTGCTGCACCGGCTGCGCCGAAGCCGACGGAGTAATCGCAACCAAGCTTCCAAAGCTCGAAACACTCATGCTCAACCCCATCCCGCCACTCGCTGCGCCAGCATACCTCGCGACCGTCGCCACCAGCTCCCTCGACTCCTTGAGCTCCCGAGTCGCAGCTTTCAGCTGTCCAACCTCGTGCTTCATCAACCCAGTCATCTGGTTGACCCATCGGTCCATCTCTGCACTGTTGTTCGAGGCGATCGATGCACGTGTGCCGTTGCGAGCTTGCGGGTTGTTGGCGAGCATCGCGTCTCGTTCAATGTCAAGCAGGCGAGTCTCGAGCGAGCGGATGAGAGGTACAGAGTATCGCTCGAATCGGTAAAATCGGACCATCATTTCTTGCAGCGCATCGGGTAGAGAAAGGTCGGCTGGCATGGGTCCGACACCGGGTGCAAGCGTGGCGGCGTTCCGCTGTGCTGCAGGATCAGCGTTGTTCGTCGTTGCATGGGTTTGGGTCTGAGGTTGGGCTTGCGCCACACCTCTGGCAGGCTCCCGAGTGATCTGATGCGCGCCGCTTGGGAATCGCTGCTGATGGCCCGCATCACCAGCCTTGCCCTTCGGCGGGGTGGGCGGACCGTTGATCTGAGCATGAGCGGCCACCATCTGACGCGGATCCCCGCCAGACACCTGCTTTTGATGGACAATAGCATCTTTGCGCTGCGCCTCGATCTGCTCGCGTGCCAGCTGCTTGGAGCGCGTCTCTTGAATGATCCTTTGAGCTGGCGTCAAGGGTTCATCCTGTGGAGGCGTAACATCCCTGCTCGGTGATGCACTGGGCAGGTACGCAGGAACAGGCTTCCTACCAGGCGGGCTCTTCTTGCGTTCCAGCTCAAACTCCAAAGCGGCATTGACGTCGGCGTCGCTCTCCCCCATACCACTACCCTCGACATCGCTGTCGACCACCTGCCTCGGTCTGAACTCTCGATCTTGCTGTGGATCGAACCGCTGTGCTGATCCAGGTGCGCCCCGTGCGCCAGTCGGAGTCGTTGGCCCCATCATGTACCTCTGACGCTCCTCGTCAACAATGTGACGCGCCTGTCGCATCGAAGCAAGCTTCTGCGCATAGGCGGCTTCGTCCTCTGCATCTCTCTCCCGGCTTACAGTCAGAGGGAAAGGACTCAGATCAGAGGCATAGTTGGGTTCCTTCTCGTCAGCTCGAGGCGAACGGCCAAAGACACCCTTGAACCATTTCCCTGCCATATTCGATCCGCCGCCGGGAGAGCAGCTGCGCGGTACATCGTCGCGATTGCGCGGCTGCCTCATGTCGCTTTCGTCCGCAGCTTGTTTGCGCATCAAGTTGGAGAGGAATCCGGAAGAGTTGGGGCTCGCGCCTGCACGAGCAGGAGACACGGAGCCGAAGGGAGAGTTGGCGCGAGAGTAGTCGGTCTCTGCACTGTCTCCGAAACGCAGAGGCGAGTGGGAAGAGCGTCCGAAAGGAATGTCGACAGGGGACGGCAGGCCGTCCAAAGGCGCAGCGCCCTTCTCGCTGTCCTTGCGAGATCGACCACCGAGACCAAATGAGAAGCGACGCGAGCGGCTCGGTGACTCGTCTCGACCTTCGTGTCCGGGGGTGTGCTGCGGAGGGAGCAAGGGTAAGCTCATGTCGCCACGCTGATCCATGGATGGCGGACCAGCACGGTGGTCACGAGGTGCATGAGGGTGTTGTTGGTGATGCTGAGGATGAGGTTGGTGGCCAGAGGGAGAAGGCGGACCGCCCGGGTAGCCACGCGGACCTGCCATTCCATTGTTTCGAGCAGCAGCAGCGGCGGGACTTGCACCACGCGAGGCAGGGTGCTGTTGCATGCGGTTCTGTTGTTGGAAGTGAGCCTGTCGATGATGTTGATCGAGATCCTCTTGCTGCTGCTGCGTCAAACTCTTGGGCCCAGCGGTGATGCGAGCCACTGGCTTCTTTGCAGTCGGCGATGGTCCGGACTGTGCAGATCCGGGCCGATGTTGGTCAGACGGGTGGCCAGAGTGATTTGTGGAGCTGCTGTAGCCCGAGTTTGACTTGCGAGGGACCCTTCCTCGCTCTGCACCCCTCTGAAAGTCACCAGCCGTGATACTGCCGGACGGACTGGCTGGCCTGTAGAAAGGCGATGGCTGATGCGCAGCGGCAGATTCAGGTCTGCCGTCGTTCGAAGAGCGAGCGGTGCCATATCCCACTCCGCCGCCTGGTCCACCTGGAGGTACACCGAGACTAGCCGGAGCACCGAGCGGCTTGCTCTTGGATCTTCTATACTGCAGATGCTGCTGTTCGTGTCTTTCGTGCTCGTCGTCCGAGTCTTCCAGCGTCATCCTACGCGAAGCAGGAGAAGCAGACTGGTGACGCGAGTCGTTCGAGAAAGAGTTGCGCGACTGTTCGTGTGCCGGAGAAGAGGGCAGCGAGACACCACCAGGCGCACGGATGACGCTCCTGACGACGAAGCTTGAAGCAGAGCCAGATGGGCTGATGGCGTTGTTCGCCGAGTTGTGGGAAGATACCCGCGAGCGATTTGTGTTCTGGAAGCTGGTGTCGAGACTGAGATTGGGCGGCTGGCCCTGGGTGTTGGGACTCGAGGAGCGAGAACGGTTGAAGGGCCAGAGCTTGCGTGCTGGAGAGGAGGACCGATCGTTGTATCTTTCGTTCATGGCGAGATAGTCTGATGTGTGGGGATCAGGCACGAAGCTGTAATTGTGGGGGTTGGCTGCCGCCATCGTTGCTGGCGGTATGGACGTTGATGACGACGAGCTGTATTGATGTGGTCAAGTTATGTTGAGATGATGGTGTAGCAAGAGCAGGAACGAGACCGGAAGAGGAAGGTTTGCACTGGGAAGGACGAACCGCCGAAAGGTGGAAGTTGAATCGTTGCGCGCTTAATATGCGCTTGGGCGGGCGTGCGTACATTGTAGGCGCTTTCCTTCTGCAGCAACGCTTGTTCTGCGCTTCGATTGTCACAAACTGCTGCGGCTCCTCTTTCGCTCGATCCGATCCTTCGCCCCTGATGACCTCTTACGCTTCCTCTCTCATTGCTACACTCGAGTGACGGCTCGAAGCCAACGACATGACAAAAAGGGGGTCCGGTCCAGCTTGACGTGAAAAGGGGCTCGAGAGTGTGACACCTTTTTAGGGGCTTCATGCAACCAAACTCCACACATTTCCCACACACGCCAAACTTAAAATTCGCGCGCCGCTTCGTCACGTGCGGATTGCAAAGTGGCTGTACGCTCTAACACTGATCAATTTCTGGACCACCCGGCTATTCAAACTTGTTGGCGGATATCGCCGACGTCAGACCTGTCAGACAGAGTCGCTCGACATTATCAGGAGCGCATTGTCCACCTTCATTTCCTCCTACTGACCGTCTCTCAACATTTCAAACCCAAGATGACGGATCACAGAGAAGCGAAAGACGCTGCATCGACGCTGTTGATCAAGAATGTTAGGCTGCCACCCGAGGCTTATGCATCTCTCCACCACGTCAATCTTCCACAAGATCAGCAGGAAGAGATACCGGTGGTGGATGTGGAATACGTCCACCTCGAGCCATCATCGAGCACACCGGCTGGCACACACGCCGTCGAGGTGTATCTCAGATCCTCCGAAGCTCTCTCCCGTAAACCCGTGACTTCTGATGGCGCTGCTCCATTCCAATCTGTCGCTCAGACCATCCCCCTTCCCGCCTCCTCCGGTCCATCTACCTCGGACCCCAACCAGCTCGTAGCTCGGTTCAACACCGTCACGCCCATCCCATCAACCTCAACATGTATCGACGCCAACTCCAGCATCTCCATTCCCGGCGGTCTCTGCCACCCTCACGTCCACCTCGACAAATGCTACCTCCTCGACCGATGCACCCTCTCCACCGGAACATTCTCCGAAGCGCTCACCTCCACCTCGTCCGCCAAATCCCACTTCACCCACGACGACGTCCGAGCGCGAATGCGTCGACTCGTTTTGTCGTCCCTCTCGCACGGTGTGACCTGCATGCGCGCGTTTGTCGAGGTGGATCCGACGGTGGGACTCATGTGTCTGGAAGCGGGTATTGAAGTGAAGAAAGAGTTTGAGGATAAATGTGAAGTGCAGATTGTGGTGTTTGCGCAAGATGCGATCTTCTACCCTGACGATGAGGCGAAGGAGAAAGAGATGCAGAGGTTGCTGGAGGAAGCGGCTACGAGACCAGAAGTCGATGTCATAGGGTCCGCTCCTTATGTCGAATCTCTCAGCAAAAGAGACCAGGAGCAACTCGACGAACGGGGGCAAAACATCAAGCAGAAACAGCAACAATCTCGAAACATCACTCACATCTTCGAACTAGCTTCCAAGTACTCCAAACACGTCGACTTCCACCTCGATTACGATCTCGACCCCCCGGGAAGCGAGATCGACGGAACACAGTCGATGATCCCCTTCGTGGTATCGCTTTCCCAACAGCGGATCTGGAATCACTCCAACGGAAACAAGAGGAGCGTCACCGTGGGTCACTGCACCAAGCTCTCGTGCTTTGACGAACACCACCTCGATCAACTCGCTTCGTGCTTCTCCTCTTCTCCCACCGCAGACGTGCCTCCGATCTCGTTCGTCGCCCTGCCACCATCCGACCTGTACATGCAAGGTCGATCCCAACCCTACGCCTCGCGCTCACGTGCCACCCTTCCCCTCCTAACCCTCTCCTCCCACCCTACCCTCCAGCACCACACCAACTGGGCTATGGGCGTCAACAACGTCGCCAACCTCTTCACTCCCCAAGGCGATGCCGACCCCTTAGCGCTGCTACCCACGATGGTGGGGGTGTGGCAGAGTGCAAAACCCAGAGATTGCGAGGTGCTCGTCGGTTCGGTCAGCAGTAGAGCCAGGGCGGCTGCTGGATTGAATGCTAATTATGGAGGGTTGGGGCAGAACATTTGGACGGATCTAACGGTGGTGGATGGATCGAGGTCGTTTCAGGAGTTGGTTTGCGCTCCCAGCTATTCGAGGATTACGGTCAAAGATGGTGTGCTGGTGGCGAGGAGAACGGTCGATTCGAGAGTGTATTGAACCTCAAATCGCACAGGTCACACAGAAGGTGCATCAGATGGTGCAATGCGAATACATTTCTGCGGTCGAATCGAGAATACAAACACCGTGGGAGATCGATGTTTTCAAGGCCTATCAGCAACACTGCTTCCACCATCGGTCGTGATCACCTGCGCCGTCATATTCCTGTCCTTCAACAGGTAAACGTAGGCGTTAGCTACATCTTCCGGTTGACCGACTCTGCCGGTCATGAGCTTGTCACCCAGGGACTTGAGGAAACCTTTCCTCTGTTCTTCTGGGATGCCGCTCCACAGCTCGGTCTCGACGGGACCGGGCGAGATGGCGTTGACGCGGATGTTCTTGGGCGCAAGTTCGAGAGCGAGACCTCGGGTCAGACCGTACACACCCGACGCTACGCCTGCCATGACGGTCCAACCTGGCATGGGCTTTTCCGCCACCACACCGGTGGTCAACACCACACTCCCTCCGCTCTTGAGATGTCCCTTGGAGGTAGCGACTTTGACGGCAAGCGTCGAGCTGATGAACCGGATCGAGGCGGCATCGATGATGTCTTGGTAGGACCACTCTTCGAACGGTTTCGTGTCGATGGAATCGCCGGCAGAGTAGATCAGATGATCGAACTCGCCGATCTTGCCGAAGAACTCGACCAGGCTCGCTTCCGCTTCGGATCCCTTGAGGTTGACGGGAAAGCCAGAGACGCGAGACGAATCGACATTGTACTGTTGAGCGGGATCGGAAAGTTTGGCGATCGCAGCTTTGACGCGATCGGCGGAGGAGGAACCGACTACGACGTAGGCTCCTTCTTCGATCAGGGCGGAAGCGGCGGCAAAGCCAAGCCCCGAAGTGCCTCCGATGACGACCACCTTTTGGCCTTTAAGCACCGCAGCTGTCTTGGAGGTTGCCATGTCGGATAATATGTCCAGAGAGATGGGGCGAAGGTATTGTTGGAAAGAGGATAACTCTCGGTGGATGTTTGACAACGATTCGGATGTCGTTAAGAAACGCCCGTCATGTCATATATACACCTTTCCCTCCCTCACAACCTCCACCTGATGGTCCAAGCTTCGGACTCCATAACACAAAACAACGGCGGCTTACACGCTCTCCACTTTTTGTTTCCCGCCGGCGTCAGCAAAATACCCACTCTCTCGCTTGCGTATCCCCGTACAACGCTTCTGACCGTCTTGCGTGATATTCCCCTTTAGTTGTTTTGCATAGCCGAGCACACTCTAGCCGCCACACCCTCCACCACCTCCTCTTACCCACCTCTTTCACGCCAACGCCCCGGCCACGATTTCATGTCCCTCTTTCCTACGATCCAACATTCGAAAAAGAGACCGTACGAACACCCATTGAAAGAGGCGAACCATACCCTAGAAGTGGAGGCTTCCTTCCATGTTCTCAACCAACCCCGCGGAGACATTCTCAGATCCGACCTACCCACGTTCCGCACCATCTTTCCCGCCCCATCCAACCCAAGAGCCACTTCCCACGCTCACCACCTCTCACACTCCATCCACCTCAACGCTCGCTCACCCGCCCCACTCACACACCAATGCAAATATGTCTATCTAACATCCGAATTGCAATTAGATCTATCACCTACAAATCCAGATCATCGTCCGGATCGTCCTCATCTTCGTCGTCGTCCTCTTCCGGCTCGAAAAAGATGCTCGCATTGCCCGTGTTCCCCCTCAACGCCTGTTCCTGCTGATGGTAGGCGTACGGCAGTGGCACGAACTCGCGTCTGGCGCGTTGATCCTGCGTCTCGGCCAGGTTGAAGGGGAGAGTCGAGATCATGCTGCTGTGAGCGTCGCCGGTGGGAGCTGTTGCAGTGGCTTGGGTAGCGGATGTGGTGGCGGCAGTCGAGGCGCTGGATCGATCGGTCATGTCCAAGGGAACAACGACCGACTCAGAGGTGAATCCAACCAGCTCCTCGTACTTCTTGCCAGTCTTGGACTGATAATGCAGTTCCAACACCGCATATCCCGTCCTCTGACCCAAAACATCCGCCAACGTGATCGCCGTCGGTCCACCACCGCTCTTATCCATCCCACCCTCGCAGAGCGCCTCAAACCCACACCCTTCTCCATTCCACCACCCTTCCACCCCTCCACCCGCCTCGTACCCGGCGACACCCATCGGACCTCTATTGGCCACGTTGCGCAGAACATCCCAAAACCTCGCATCCACTTCCTCCTCGCCATCCTCGCCAGCGTCGAATCCCAGCACCCGCTTGACAGCGCTGCTCGTGCTGGGGGGTTTGAGACTGTACTGCTTGAAAACATGTCGGAGAAGTGCAGGTGAATGAACGGTAACAGAGAGCACCGTACCACCGGCGCCGGCCGCCGAAGAAGCGGTAGATGCAGCAGAGTTGCCCCAGATCAGCGGCGAGTGCAGACTCGACAGCAACCCGGCACTGGTCGACGCATCCACACCTCCCAGTCGCAGCCCAACAACCAACCTCGAAGATCCGCCGATCAGCGCGAGCGTCTCACGTACAACCCTACTAGCCACCACAATTCCACCCGTCGTCGCCTCTGCATGCGCGATGGCATTCAACGAATCGATAATCACCGTCGTCTTGCTGACATTCGCGTTCAACTGCGCCAGCTTGGCAGTGATCCGATCGATCAGCTCTTGGCTCGTCTTGATCGCTTCGCCATTCGGTGCAAACGTGTTGCCAAGTAGAGTAGCATCAATGGAAGCAACGTTGCCAGCATCGATACCATCAAGATAGGTCTCGGCTTGTCGAAGGGTAGATACGAGCAGCACTGCTTGGTTACGCTGCGTCGAGCGAGCGATCAACTCACGCACCAGACTGACTGAAGACTGCACGATCGAGTCTTGCAGGATTACCAGCTGCTTGCCGTGTCGTTGCGAATTGGCGCTCTTCAACCCGCTCGATGAGCCGTCTGCTGGTGCGAACAGTGTGTCATCGAGCAGGCTCTGTGCTAGCGAAGGCGTGCTTGCTGCGCCACTTGCTCGCCCGCCCACTCCTGAGGTTGAAGACGACGGCAGCGAGGCTGGAGGCGCTCTGCTTGATCCACCCCCACCCGACACCGAATCGGACGCAGCAAGCGCCTTGATCGTGCTGCTCCTCGACAGCATCACTGCATCCCTTGGCTGTGCCTGCACTCCGTCACCAGACTGCGAAGAAAGACTCGGAAGGAAAGCCGCATCACGCATGGCAGCTGCTGCTGTGGACTGGTATTCGACCAGACCACGCGCCACGGTGAGGACTTGACTGGGCATGAAGGCGACGTTGTGCTGCTGAGCTTCCTCGTCGGAAATCAGAGCGCCAAACGTGCGTCCTTCCGCTTCATGCCCGAGCCGAAAAAACGACGGCGGCTTGCGAAGCGCTTTGCCTTCCTCGAGATGCTCAGCGCGGCTCTTGAGCGCCGTCGACATTCGACATGCCTCGTACATCCGAGGAGAGGCTGGTTCCGCCTCGTCGGCGCTGGCAACAGACGTGGACGAAGGCGTGTGGATCGACGAGCTGGAAGAGGCAGTGTCGACGGGCGGGTGGCCTGATTGCGTTGATGCGCTGCACGAGAGTGCATCTGCATCGGCGGAATCGGCGTCCGCGTCCGCGTTGCGCGCTTCGTTGTCGACTTTGGCAAGGTTGGAGGAGGAGAGATCAGAGTACGGGGCATCGGCATCGACGCCTCGGCGCTCTTGTTGCGCGGAGTGGTCGACAACGTCATCTGCCCCCTGGACGTTTCCCGAGTCGGCGTGGGCTTGCTCGTCGGCATCAACGTTGGCCTCGTTGACGTGACCGTTGGTACCGTTGGATTGCTGCGAAGAAGGCTGCTCGCCGTTCTGGTGAGCTTCGTGGCGATGTTCGCCATTGCCATTGGTCGCAGTAGCTTCGGTCCCGTTCTGAACACCGTTACCGAGATGCTCCATCTCTTCGCGCTCGAGCTCCTCCAGCTCGAGACGCATCTCATCAGCTTCGCGCTGCAAGCTCGTCTTGAACTGTCGGAGTGAGTGGATGAACTCGACCTCGGCAAACTTGCTAAAGGGCTGAGGCACTTGCCAGCGCGCGTTCGACTCGTGGTAGGCTTTGAGCCAGGGATGACGGAGAGCCTCTTCGGCAGTCAATCGCTGGTCGGGATCCCAGGTGAGCAGCTTGGCAACCAGATCCAGCGCTTCCGGATTTGCATTTGGGTACAGCTTCTCCAGAGGCACGGCGGGCATGTTGGGAAGCGACTTGATGTAAGTCTTTGCCCGTTCCGATCCAATCTTGTCCAACACCGCTTCGGAGGGCGAGCCGAGAACATTGTTGATGCGTGCGATCTGGTCGACGTAGTCCTTGCCGCCAAAGATGGGTGCGCCAGCGATGAGCTCGGCGAGGATGCAGCCGACGGACCACATGTCCATCTCGGGACCGTAGCCCTCTCGGAAGCAGAGCATGACTTCGGGAGCGCGGTACCATCGTGTCGCGACGTAGCCAGTGAGTGGACCACCAGGGTAGTTGAGGCGCTTTTGTTTGCCCTTGGAGTCGGTCTTGTACAGCTGGACGTGGAGATCCGAGGCAGGTGAAGGTGAGCGTGCCGAGCCATCGCGGGGCTGCACCTGGGGCTGGGAGGAAGAAGCTGCGTCAGAAGTGGGAAGAGTGGATTGGTTCGCCTCGACGTGGTCGCCATCGACGCTGCTGCCGATGCTCGATCTTGGCTTTGCCTCGGCATCGTCGCTGCTGGACGATGGTGGTGCGAGGAACTCGTCCGAGTCGGCATAGGCTCGAGCCAGACCGAAATCGCAGATGCGAAGGGCGCAGTCGCCGTTCACCAGGAGATTGCTGGGCTTGAGATCGCGATGGATGACCTTGGCAGCATGCATGTAGCGAACGCCTCTCAGGATTTGGGCCATGAAGTACTGGTGGTGCGCATCCGAGAGTGCTTGACCCGAGCGGATGATCTGCGAGAGATCGGCTTCGCTTGCGGAAAGGACGAGGTAGATCTCGGAAAAGTCGATGAAAGCGGTGTCAAAGTCGAGCAAAGCGGTGACATTGTCGCACATGCCAATGTGACGGAGCAACGCCACCTCGCGGAGGGCTCTGCGTGCAAGGACATCCTTCTCAAAGATGCGGGTCACCTTTTTGATGGCGACGTTGCATTCGAGCACCTCGTCGCGACACAGGGCTACGCAGCCGTAAGCTCCGATGCCGAGCTCGCGTACAAAGGTGTATCGCTGCTTGACGTGGAAGGGGACGCCGAGGCAGCGGAACGAGTGGTAACCACGAGCGGCGAGATTGTGAGGCGCCATGGGATGGTCCTCGTTTGTGTAGCGCGGTGTGCGATGCGAACCAGAGGCGGAGGACGACATGTTTCGACGCGTGCGAGTCCGTGAGCGCGTTCCCTGTCGGGAGCCGACCTGGTGAAGGGTGTTGCTGGTGGAAGAAGAAGGTGGTGATGGTGGCGGAGGCGTCTTGCTGGAGCCTGGTGCTGCAGCTCCCTGCTGCGGTGGAGGCGACAGCGGTGTAGATTGAGGTGCTGGCATTCTGAACGACGACCGAGTAAGATGCTGAGACTATAGCAATGCGTACTCGAGAGTCGTATGATCGATTAAGCAGGCACTTGTGTCGAGGAGGAGGCGCAGGGCGCACTTATGAAATGAGCCAGTGAGTGATCGGTATGGTGAGGCGGCGCGTGTATCAAAGCAGCGTTGCTGAGGCTGTAAAGGTGAGGATCAGGTGACGCGACTAGGCGTGAAAGCGGGCAAAGCGAGCCGGCACTTCCGACGAGATGCGGTTAACCTTGGCGCAGCAGGTCAGTCAAGAGCCGATCTGCTTCAAAGAGGCAGGCTGGCGAAGGCGCGTATCGCTGCAGAAGACGGTTGACTGCAGCGGCTCTGCAACGGGAAAAGGAACAATGAATGCTGCACGGTCCCCTCGGTCTGCGTCGAGTCAGGCTCGAATAGCGTGGTTGTACTGTGAAAAGAGGGGTCGAGTGGGCGACGAGCTGCTGCTATCGGAAGCGTTACCGATGGACGCGATCGACGCAAGAGGAAAGAACGTACGCAACGAATGCTGGTGAAAGCAGCCGCTGGTGTCTGTTGTTGTCTATGGATGGCTGACTGTGTGGTTGTTGGGGAAGGCGTGCTGGGTCGCCGGTGAACACGAGCAGGTGTTTGACGATGCAGCACTGTGGTCGATCGATGAGCGACCAGATGACAGTTGGAGCTGGTCAAAGCAAGTGCGCGGAGAGGATGGATATGTGATGGTGTCGAGATGGAGGGTGAGGTGGGTTTGACGAGGGAGGTTGATGCGTCTAGACAGGGTCACCGTATGCCTCGAAGGGGAGCACCACCCTAGTTGATTAGCGACTGCCGGCAGCTGACACGAAATGATGTTGGGATCCGCAGCGCAGCAAACACACATATGCAAAGAGAGCCAGGTTGAAAGGCAGACAGGCGCATACGGCGTCCGGATTGATTGACTTGTAGGGCACAAAAATTGGGCGAGCAAAAGCACCGGTGGAAAGCGTACACACGCTACGGCAGCGTAGCGCAGTCTCTGTGCCGACCAAAAAAAAAAGGGCGTGGACGAGAGAGTGTCTGTGTGTGGGAGGAGAGTGACACAGCATCTCCAAAACAGCAGCGTGAATGCGACATTTTCGGTGGACAAAAAGGCCCGAGGCAAGCGTCTGGCCATCGAGCGAAAAAAGGGTCGATTTCCGAACAGAAATCCCAGCTCGGGTAGACAACCAGTGGTCCTCGTAGATCGAGCAGCTTTTGCGGCACAATGAGCTCTAAAACAATTTAGTTTAATTTTGCTCACAAAAAAAGGACGCGTCTGAAAGGGGTGCCAATCCGGCACGATCTCTGGTACTTGTTGACTTGCAGATCAAGGGTGCCAAAATGGACAATTGCAGGTGGTGTCGTCGGTCATTGTGATGAGAGCACATGAAAATTCAGGGCAAAACACGCAGAGTGACTGCATCTCGACCCTCACGTATGCAATTTTACCGGAAATTTTTCCTCTTAATCTTGGCTCAGAGTGGAAAGTTCTGGTCGCGGTGTCACACTACGAAAAATGTCTCGATCTTGGACTTGTTCGAAGCGGCTCCACCACCGAGACAGCGCTATCGAAGTGGTCGGCCCTTTTCTAGCTCTTTTCCTTTTTTGCTGTCGGTCGCTGTCCGCCCGCGCGCCGCCCTTCCGCGGGTGCTGTTCATTTCGCGATTGGCGTTGTAGATGAAGTGGGGTCCATCAGCGATCGATCGTCTCGCTTGGATGAAATTGGCGCGGTGAGCCCAATCGACGACGATGACAACAACAACAACAACAACAACAACTCGATCAATTGTCTCCTCGACGACGACTCACGAGACCAGCGCAACGGGCCTGATTTGGTAGGTGGCTGTGTGCTCGGTGCGAATCATATTGACCGGCTCGGTGCATCTTCGGGATTGGTCGCTACGAGTGGTGAGACACGACGACATGGCCGAACGAGCAAGCAACGGCACCTGTCTCGAGCTTCCCTCCGAACAGATTGACACTCGCAGCTGCGGCTGCAGCTGCGGCTGCTGCTGTCCGAACATTGATCACAGGATTGCAGTCGGTGTCAATTGACATCTGGCACAGACTGTCAAGCCGACGAGCATCGAGCCGACGCGGGCGCGGGGAGTGCGGGCAGCGTAGCGGACAAAAGGTGACCGGTCTTGTCGTGTGCATACTGCATCTGCTGCCTCGCTTTTTTTCACATTGGCGGGCGAGTAATATTGATATTTTCCCAGCCTGGCCCGCGACACAAGGGACGAACGGGAACAAGACCGGGAACGCGGACTTTTTTTTTTCCTGTTCCTTTTTCGTTGGGATGTGGGAGCGAGCACATGACACGCCAGGCTCGCTTGTCACTCGAAAGATTCCCGACAAGCTGACGTGGATTGGGGTGAGTCCAGAGCAGAATGCAGAGACACCTAGATGCCCGGTGCAAGCCACCATCGCTTCTGCCGCCAAGCTCGACGGCGTTGACATTGTAACTAAATGGCAGATGCCAGCGATACAGCATGCACCTCGAAAGATAACGTCTTTGTGCCAGAGCAACCAAGTTAGGCTGGGAAAAGTAACGAGGTTCTGGGGCCGACCAGCCAAAGCCAAAGACCGGCTTGAAAACGGCGCCAAATTGCACGGCATGCTTGGCAACATTAAGACGCTTTCCTTGCTTAAATTGTTGTGCTGGGGGGTGTACAGGAACGAGCAGCTGCAGCTGGGTCTTAAATCCATATTGGGACATCTGCTCATGTTCGGCTATGTCTCTTCCGAGCTTCATCATGTCTTCCTTTGGTGAGTCTGCTTCTAGTGTCTGGACTCTCTCTCCCTCGCTTGAGTTACTGCTTGCGTGGAAAGTGCTATTCCAGTGCAGAGGCGAAAGGTGTGACGAAGCTTGTCGTCAGGCGGGTCTGCCGGTCAACGCCTGAACAAGCCCACACTACTGTAGCAGACTTCATCTCTGTTGCATTTGACCTCAAGCTTAGACAGATTCTGCCACTCTCGTTGTTCTTCTCGTCGCTCCATCATTCGCCCCGAAAATCATGCTCATGCTTGGCTTGATGTGTACCGCAAAGGAACAATAAAAGTTTGACCGAAGTTCCATCTCGTTTGCGGCTGAACCGTGATCGCGCAAAAGAGACAAAGGCTAGGTTCTGCCTGAAATGGGAATTATGCAGGGTTCATCTCAACACAAACTAACGTGACTTATGAATTGACCCGAAAAAGGTTGTGCCCATGCGGTTTTTTTGCATGAAGAAAAGGCAAGACGGCCAATGCATGCGTGACACAGACGCTATGCAGTTCGGCTCATTTTTCATGTTTGAACCGGCAGCAATGGGGTTGGATGGTTCGGCCCCACTCGAATCCGACTTCGTGTTGTTGACGAATGCAAGAGAAGAATTCCCCAGTCTCGACATCGTTGCGACAAGGGGAGACAAGTTCATCCGCATCACAACAATGGGCAAAGCACTTTTGAGCCAAGCCCATTTTGGAAGCGAGGGACGGTCAGGCGGAGAAATGGTTGCGGTGGGATCGGACCTGCAAAATCGGCAGTGGGCCGCGGCGGCTTTGTTCTCTGCTCGTGGTGTCGCATTGTGACAAGCTCAGACGGGCACGGCGAACGCCACCAAAGCCACCGCCCCTCCAGCTCAATCCACCGCGTCACTCAGGCGACGCTGCGGCGACTCTATATTTTAGGGTGGCTGAAGCATTTGCATATGCCGGATTCGCAGCCACAGCCTCGCTTTGCCGGTTGACAGCTTGGCTCTGGCAACTCTGTTACAAGGGGAAGAAAAAAGAAAGTTGTCCGGCCATCATCAGCGTTCGACCAGTGCGCTGCTGTAGTACTTACGCTGTGGCTTGGACGTGACCACCGAAGTCCGACCGAAGGTTGTCCCCTCGCTGCTCGCTCTGTCGTTGCCTTCAATCTAACATCACGAGATAGTGTCGTCGGTGACCGATCTGGCCGACGCCTCTCTCGACCCAAAACAAGACGCACTTAGGTTACTGATTCGAGTTTCGCAGAGGGTTGGCCGATTGGTTTCACTCATCGGCATATAGCCTTCGTTAGCCTTCTCCGACTTACCTACTGCCCACAAACCAAAACGGGATCTCGACACTTGGCCGAGATGCAGAATTAGTCTTTTCTTTTTGGGTCTCTCTTTCTCCACGCCCAGCTGAACAGTGTGTTGTTCGAACGCTAGTTTCGTAGCCTAGCTCGTCTCTGCCCTTCGACATGCTTTCGCAGCTCCCATCTGAGTACCGTCTGTCTGTGCGCTAATGATCGTACTCCGAAACGCAAATATGTTCGAGAATTGATCCTTGTTTTCATGCGATTCGGTCTCCCCGCATCCGCCTCCGACCTCATTCGTCTCGTGTCGGGAAGACGGGAGACCTCACACGAGTGACACACGCAAACACACACTTTTCTTTCGGCGTCGAATGACACTGTTTCCTCCTCCGCCAACTGCATGTGGGGTTCCAAAGCGAGAGCTAGAACCATCAACACCGGTGACGAGACATCCTATACCAGCAATGATGACCTTCAACCGGCGAGATGCGGAGTTGCAAACATTTCGCGGTGGTTTTTTCTCAAGTGAGCCGTGAACTCGAGCTTTTCTTGCTCTCTGACACTTTGTGGACCGAGTAATGGGTTCGGACCGGCGAATCATTGGGGGAAAATGTCGGAGGCGAAAACATGACGAGATCCTCTCTACCCCGGACCGGTGTGTCGTCTGCTATTGTGGATGCCAAAAAAACACCCCAAGTCGTCACTCGACCGATCAACGTGGATATTCATGCGTCGATTCGTTACCCCACACACACACGCCAATAAAGCTGTTTTGCTCCTCGTTAAGTGTTTGTTCACTTTGGGGGGCGACTTTACACAGCTCCTTTCCCCACGCAAAGAGGACGGCTGTTTCTAGCTCGAACCCAGTCCATCGTCCTCGCATTTTTCCTTTTCCGCGCCTCTCACGCATCCACAACGGATGGAGTAGATCTCTTTGTCGAAGATGCGATGTAAAGTGATGTCAATGGCAGTTGTCTGTTTGGGAAAAGGTTAGATGTGGAGCCGCGGCAGCTTGAATTTTTAGTAGAACCTTGTGAGACACCATGATCAGAGCCGAAACAACTTGCGTTGACCGCAGAAAGGCATGTTTTCCTTTCGATCATCGCGGTTCGTACCAATGCAGATCGAAACCCCTCTTTCGACTCCACAACCCTGCTCGAGATTCACATGTGTGGGGTTAGGAGCAACAGAGTTTTCCCGAATCCTCGCTGCTGTCCAGAACACAGTCTTGCCTGCTGATCATCCTCCTTGCCATCGGTTGACATTTCCTATCGTGATCTCGTCATCGTCAGACGATGCATGGTGGCAGATAGAACGTGTTTTCCATACCTCGTCTCCCTCACCACAGCTGATGACTAGGCAAGCTTCTTGAAACCCAGGTCGACTGTCGCCTTTCCCCCTCACCCGATGCCACTCCTTCACCGCACCGCAGAAAGCTCAATTCTAGCCTTGTGAGACCGAGCCAGAAATCATCCTCGTAGTCCACGCCTTCACAAGCCTTTGACCAGTGCTATCACCTCGCAACTGCTTCTTTTTCGCAACCATCATTTTCCAGCCCCTTTTTTCTTCGTCCACATTTCCCCTTCCACTCAAAATTACTACCGTTCTGTCTTCAACAGTCTCCCCCCAACTTTCATTCTCCGTCTTCCCTCAAACTCATCGGCTACGGACACAATCACTCACACTGTACACACCTCAGCACACGCTCAACAACGGAAACGGACAAACCTGAAAATGCAAAAAAACGTAACTACATCAATTTGAACAACCCATGAAAGAGAAAACCTCGTGTGACCTGCATTGCTTTTCCTCGAAACCTGATCCAGCTCAGCAGACGGGCATGAAACTGCTGCCGGCGCCGACACCGCTTCCAACACCACCCCAGAAGCTGCTGAGCGGCGCGACATCCTTCTTGGTGTTGGCTCGCAGCAACGAGGGTCGTGGGCTCTGCGACCTGGGCGAGCCCGGAACGGCCAACGTGGGAGTTGCGGGTCTGGAAGAGGAGCAAGCGTCACCGCTGCCAAAGTTGAGGAAGGCGCCGGGCGTCAGAGGCATCGAATCTTGAGTGGGGCTGGCACGGCCCGACGTGAGACCCGATGAGCCAAAGGCGGCAGGGGCACCAGCCGCAGCAACACCGCCGGTCGCGGTCATGCTTTGCAGCGCTTCGAGGATCTTGCCAACATCCTGGCTCGAGATGGTCCTAGCCTTGATGGTCTTGACCTCGTCCTTGAGCGTCTTGTTCTCGACAGAAAGCTGCGAGATCTGCTGACGAAGGCCCTCGATGAGCGCGTCGCGATCGGCAATCTGGTCCTCGAGCTGGCCAATGTACTCCTTTCTGCGGGTACGGAAGTTGCGGGCCGAGATCTTGTTGCGAAGCTGACGCTTCTCCTTGCTGCTGAGCTTCTTGTACTCTTCCGGGTCGGGCTTGAGGTAGTTGATATCGCCAACTGCCATGGGGATGGTGTTGAGAGGCTTCGATCCCGATCTGTGGGCGTGGCGATCGTCGTCTGCGTCATCGTCGTCATCTTCCGACATGCCATCCTCGGACATGGGAGCGGCGGCGTCGTCTTGCTTGAGCGAGAGGTTCGACGGCGTCAGGGTCATGGGCTGAGCTTGAGGCGCCACGGCGTTGGGCTTGGACAAGTCGGAAGGGCTGATGGAGGCGAGGGGCATCGAAAAGGCGGAGGCATCGTTGGCGGCGCCGCCGTTCTGTACCACGTGAGGATCGATGGTGGTGGCCGACTCAAATTCGGTGGTGCGAAAAGGCGAGTTGCGGAAGAAGCTGAGCAAGTGGTCGGGATCATCGTCCTCAAACTTGATGGGCTGCGAGTTCAAGGACTGCGTTGGGTCGTCGAGAAGCGAGGAGCTGGGCTCGCCAAAGACGGTGGAGAAATCGACGAGCGCATCATGCTCGGCGATGCTGTTGAGTGCGGGGGGAGTGGCTACGGGAGAGAAGCTGCGGCCAGAGAGAGCAGGCGACTCGGCAGTGTCGAGCTCAGGAGGGCTGGCCGTCTGGAGCGTGGCAGAGGCGACGGGCGCAGTCGCAGGAGCAGTTGCCTTGGGTTGAGGAGGAGGAGGGCGCGTCAAGGCGGCAACGGTGACCTGCGAGGTGGAAGCGTGGGGCTGGTGCTGCTGTTGAGGCTGCGAGGTGGTTGCGCTCGCAGAAGTGGCAGACGACGATGAAGCCGGAGCTGCTGGAGCAGCAGAAGCGGCGGTGGTGCCATTCTTGTTCTTGAAGAGGCTGTCAAAGTGGTTGCGGACGTAGCGATCGAGGAGAGCTTCGCTAGGCTGAGTGCCAGCCTTGCGAAGCTCGACAGCGAGGTAGTAGCGGAAGAAAGTCTCGGGAGAAGAGCCGGGAGGAGGCGGGGGCTGATTCTCGTCGAGACCGACCTTGCGCATGTTGGAGGCAGCGACAGGGGTGGATGAGATGGAAGCGGCGTTGGAGATGGTACGCGGGCGTGGCTGAAGGGTGGGTGAGGAAGGCATCTTGACAATGTCGTCAAAGCCGTTGAAGCTCGAGTTGCGAGCGACCTGAGTAGCTGCCATGATGGAAAGATGGGTCGACTCTCAAGCTGGCGTAGCCGTCTTCGAGTGGGTTGTGTAAAAGCTAGAGTGGAACGGGAAGCAATGCGAGACGATTGCAGCCAGATTTACAGTGACTGATAGACGTAGGTGACGGGACGGGGTTGCGGATATATACGCAGAGCGTTGTTGTGTGGTGACTTGTGTTGGTGAGTGTGAAAGCGTTTAGGCTGATGATCGTGGTTATGCTGATGGTGTTGAGTTGAGTGATTCAGAGGGATGGTGTGAGAGAGAGAGAGATAGGGGAATGGCGCGAACCGTGCTGAGTCTGGAAAGTGACAGTCGCTCGCGCTCTCTATCTCTGAGCGGCTCGCGGCGGCAACTTAGCGACACAGGGGCACGGCAGCGCTGTCTCACACTCTCCCGCTCGGAGCTAAGTCCAAGTGCAGATCGGTGGGTGTCTGAATATTTGACGCGAAATTGGCCAACAGCAAAAGGGAACAATTGGCTGTGCTGTGCTGTGCTGTGCTGTGATCTTGGGTAAGGAACACTAACCCACGCCACTCTCCACTTTCTGACAGCACACCGCACAGCTGAGCACAGCACGACCAAATATAGACTCATTCCGCAGTGGTCGAAATTGATATGCAAATGCACTCATAAATAATTGTACGCGAGCAGCAGTCACCCTTTTCGGTCCCTCGAAATCGGAACAGGGCTGCTGCTGCTGTGCTTTGTCTCATTGCTGGCGTGCTCGTGATGGACACCAGTCTTGGGCTGTCCTACTTCCACCAGCCTTCGGAGCTCAATGTGACGGCACCACGGGCTTGCAGAACCGTACAGGTACTCCCCTGTCGCAGTGTCAGAGCCAGAGTCGAGGTCCGCGGACGAGGACACCTCCTCTGTCAGAAGATGACCTTTACGGTTTTCCGATCCGACGAAATGCCAGCCCTTTCTTTTTTTGGGTGGGCGTCAACGCACAGCGAGAGGGAAGACGATGGAAGCTCGCAGACTGGAGGCGACCTCCTTCCAGCCAGGGTTGCCGCCGTGTCTTACCAGTACCACCATCCTGATGCTGTCTCACCACTCTGTCAGCTGTCGTTCCACGTCACCTCATCCCTTCGTGTACAACACCATGCAGATATGTGGTGGCAACGAACAGATTGGCTGCCCCTTCTACACGAAAGCCGAAGTGTTTTTGAGCTCCGTGAATGTGACAGGGTGTTCCGCAACCGCTTACGCGTTCAGGGTCCAGTTTTCGATCTTCTGTCATCCGACTGAGTTTATGCAGGCATGCTGACGCGGTAAGTACGATCACTTACTGATTTGTACGTGATGTTAGACTGTCAGAAAACACAGCTTCATTCGATCGGGAGATGGTGTGATGAATCTAGAAACTAAGAAGCCGATGTCAGGGTTTGGGCGTGTCGAGCGACTTTTTTGGTGTTTGCGGCTTTTTGCACGATTCCATCTCTCGTTGTTTTCGACTCAGTGTGCAGACGCTTCGCTTCGTCCCCGCACAGCGACGGTCTCGAAAGCAAAGGCTCGGATCCTTCTTGGCTTCTCACAACATCATCATTGGAGCTACACCCACGGCAACAGTGTACTCAATCGTCAGAGTACGCACTGAACACGTCTCACGCTCTCGACAGGGCCAATACCTCGCTTTGACCATCCACAACGACGCCTCATCGCATTTCAGGTACGTCAACGGTACATCAAAAGTGCCGCAAGAATCATCCGCAAACATGTCGTGGAGGAGCAATGCGCAGCGGACGGGCATGAATGCCCAGCCTCTTCAGGGCGCAAGACGCTGGGGTGGAGGAGGCGGAGGTTCAACAGGCGCACCAGAAGATTCATCCGGCTCCGGTTCGCCGCCTTCCAACTACCAGCAACAATCTTCTCATCCATACCAGCCTTCATACCAGCAGCATTCACAACCATATCATGCAGCGCCGCCGTCTTCATCGCCGCTTCCTCCATCCGACCCGAGATCTGCTGCGCTAGCAGCTGCAGCCGCCGTCGCAGCGAGTATCGGCATCAAACGCGATCGCGACGCACCACCCTCCCACTCCTACGCCGCCCCTTCCTCCTCCAGCGCCGCTGCATCAGAAGCATCAGGTGCAGACGCAGGTCCGCGCAAGCGCAAATCGCGCTGGGGAGACGCAAGTGACAAACTCACCATCCCCACCGCCATCGGCGCCAACGTCTCTGCCCAGGAGCTCGACAAGTACGCCATCCAGGTACGACTCGACGAGATCTCGCGCAAACTTCGTTCCGGTGACTTTGTCCCTCCCGACCGCGAACGATCGCCTTCACCTCCACCCACCTACGACAACCAAGGTCGCCGTACCAACACCCGTGAAGTGCGTTATCGCAAGAAGCTCGAAGACGAGCGTGTCGCTCTCGTCGATCGTCAACTCAAACTCGATCCCAACTTCCGTCCTCCCTCCGACTACCATGCCATCAAACGCAATCAGCGTCCCACCGAGAAAGTCTACCTGCCCATCAAAGAGTTCCCCGAGATCAAGTTTTTCGGCCTGCTCGTCGGTCCGCGAGGAAACACGCTCAAGACGATGGAACGTCAAAGTGGAGCAAAGATCTCCATCCGAGGCAAAGGCTCCGTCAAGACAGGAAAGGGCAAGATCGATGCCGACGAAGACGAAGAGGAGATGCACTGCGTTGTCACCGCCGACGACGAAGCCGCAGTCAAGAAAGGCATCAAGCTCATCAACCAAGTCATCGAAACAGCTGCCTCCACACCAGAGGGCGAGAACGATCACAAGAGGAGTCAACTTCGCGAACTCGCCGCGCTCAACGGTACCCTCCGCGACGACGAGAACCAGCTCTGCAAGAACTGCGGCAACAAGGGTCATCGTGCCTTCGAGTGTCCCGAACAACGCAATTGGACCGCACACATCATATGTCATCGGTGTGGGGGACAGGGTCATTTGGCTAGGGATTGTACACAAGGTAGAGCGGGTGGATTTGCAGGTGGTCCCCCACCGGGTGTTGGCGGAGCGGGAGGAGGAGTGGGCACGGGCAACAGGCAATTCGATTCCGAGTATGCCAACTTGATGGCCGAGTTGGGTGAACCTGCTGCTGCGGGTGCTAGTGGTGTCGCACAGAATGGGGCCACCGCTGTAGGAGGAGCAGCAGCAGCAGCAGCAGCGGTGGGTGCGGATGGCAAAAAGATCCCACCTTGGCGCAACCCGGAAGTGTGGAGTCAACCCGGATTCGGTGGACCGCGTGGTGGCGACGCAGGTAGAGGCGGATGGAATCGCGGAGGCTACAACAACCGCGGCGATCGCGCCCACTATCAACCTCAGCAGCACCAACACCCTCACTCCTACCAACAGCAACAGTCCTATCCCAGCTACGACCAGTCTGCCACAACACCAGCTCCAGCGACCGGTGAAGTAGCCGACCAACAGCAAGACTACAGCGCCGAATGGGCGGCGTACTACGCTGCTCAGGCTGCCGCGGGCGGAGCACAGACTGGTGAGCCGCCAGCGGCGGCGGCGGCGGCGAGTGCGGGTGGGGAAGGCGCGGTGGATTATACAAAGGAGTGGGAGGAGTACTATCGTATGCAGGCGGCGGCTGCTGCTCAGGATGGGGGTGCGTACGGGGCTGGTGCACAGGCTTGAAGCATGTTTTTCTTGCAATGTGAGAGTTGTCAACTGGACGCAAAGTGTGATGGGCGTGTTTGTGCTTGTGTTCTGAGGAGTTGCTTCTGCGTCAATCCGCGTCTGAGCGTTGGTCGTTCGTCTCAAAACTCGACTCTGTGCCGTCGATGACCGTGAACATTTCGCACTCCCAACGCTACATTTGCGAGTCGCTAAACCCATCAAACTCCCAATTCTTCTTTCCGGACAACTCAATCATACTCCTCGTCCTCATCGAGACTCCTCTTTACACCTCTTGACTCATCCTTATCCGCACCATCCGCATCTGCTCCCTGACTCGTCGCCTCCTTCGCTTCCCCAACCCCTTGAGACTGACTAGGATGAATCGTGGTCATACTAACATCATCCGCCGCCTCATCTTCCACATCCTCCCCATCGTCATCGTCATAATCATCCTCATCAACAGCAGCTCTTCTCGGATTAGTATCGAACAAACTTGATCCCTGGGTGTCGTTGATCGTTGATTGACTGGCACTGTTTCCCCCCGCTGCTGCTGCTGCTACTTTTGCTGTTGATGTTGAGTTTTGTGGTAGGTGTTCGGCTTCGAAATCGTCGAAACCTTCAGGAATGGGGTTGGGGACGATTTCAAAGTTGACGTTGGTGAGACAGTGTTGTGGTGGAGGAAGTCTTACACCGTGACGATCCGAAATGGGGGGGAGGGGGATCGAGTTGACTGTGCTTGCCAATGCCAACAGCATCTATGTTGACCGTTCGTTTGTTCACGTTGTGAAAGTCAGCATCTGCTCGATCGATGGAGGTAGTGCAAGTGTGGAGGGAGCCTGTGGGGAAGTGGAGTGGGTGAACTTACGTCTTTCTCCGGAGGCTTGGTAAAGCTGTAATTGACCCTACTTTGAATCGCCAATTGAACGTCTTCTAGCGACAAGTTGGTACCAGCTTGACGTGAGTTCGCATGATCAGAGTAGACGAGAGCATCGGACAGCACATCGTAGGTATAGCGATGGGCGAACTCGAGAAGTTGCAGGAGGACCGACGGTTCGACATCGGATACGCCCATGGAGGAGAGGATGAGCGCGATGAGACGCGCATCGCGTGGAACGGGACCGCGAAGACCGGTGTCGGAATACGATGCGGAGGAAGAGGACGAGGCTGCCGGGTCATACGTCACCATGGTGTGTGGTAGAGGTTGCCGATGCGGCGGATGGCGTAGCAAGTGTTGAGGATGGGCGGTGTGGGACAAGGAAGAGAAAACGAGACCTAGAGCCCAAGGTTGGCGAGCTGCTGCATCAAAGCGCGAGGCACATCCGTTTCCCGAATTTCAAGGTCGGGATAAGATTTGTTAAATCGCGAGTGGTCCACCTATGCTCAGAGGCTGCTTCCCTCAACGTTTCAAGCTCTGCTCAGACTGCTCGGGAGTCAATGCTTGGATCAGAGTCAGCTGTAATAGGAACAGGAGAGTGATTCCACATCGCCGATGCCAGAGAAGAGTCATGCACGAGAAGTCAGTACAGCGCATAAAGCGGTTGACTGGCGCGTCGCAAGTCACACAGTCGTGCAACGAGTATGGAAGGTGTTCAACCGCATCGATGCCATCTCGCTTTGTTGAGCTGGGCCATGGATGTAGGACGAGGCGTCGTGTTAGCTCACTTGCTTCGACATCGATAGATCAAGGCTACACGAGAAGCTGAACACCTCTGCGCGTCAAGGTATCCCTGCTTTCTCGTCTGGATGCTCTCCGACCTAAACGCGATTGGCGTGTGTCATAGCTCGACTGTCTCGGCTGCATCCATGAAGCGGAGGTTGAATGCGTCTGTCGTTCTCTATGATGCTAATGTACAATGGATTCGAATCGAAGTTTGGTGTAAGACCGGCTGAGCCCGTCTCTTACCACGAAGCCTTCTTGACACCCGGCAATTCGCCTGCCAGAGCCTTCATTCTGAATTGATACTGTATCGTTCGTCAAAGGCAGGACTATATCAGCAACTATACCCAGTAGATCTCGCCATCATTTCGTGTCTAAGACTTACCCTGCACAGACCGAACTCGGAAATGATAGCTCGACCTCGACCGGTCTCTACGCATCGATTTGACACGCTCACCGGTCTCGTCTTGTTGGGGAACTGGTTGAGCTGAAGTTGCGCCTGGTGACGGACCTTCTGTGGCAAAGTGGTGTTGCGTGCAATGTATTTGAAAGCTCGACGGACGAGTTCGTTGGATTGGACAGCTTGACGTGTCGCCATGTCACGGAGCACTCTTGCGTTTGGTCTGACCGGCATGATGGGCGCGAGTGTGTGTGTGTGTGCTAGTTGCGATGGGGTGGTTGTAAGAGTCGCAACCTGTTTCGGCAGGAAGAGAGGGTTGACGGCCGAAGTAGTGGTTGGTAACGATGATGGTGATGATGATGATGATGAGGAGGAGAAGTGAATCACAGGATTGGTGCAGCTTTCTTCTCAAAAAATGTCGGGTCCGTCAAGGCTTAATTTTTCAAATATGTTACACTCTCACCACGAACAAGGCATGACCGTGCGGAAAAGGGAGCCGTGGTTGCTCCACACAGGGCGAGAAGCTTTCTTCTGCGCCGGCTGCACGGTCGGTCAGATGGACCCTGACGACAGCAAAAAAAAAAAGCGAAGCAGCTCGACATCCTTCTCGACCACACACCCTCATCTTTTCAGCACTGCGCATCGCTGCAGCCTCACGAGCAGTCGGATAGGATGGACAGCCGCATCTTGTAGACTCTGAGTCCGTGCAAAGGCGCACCCCGGTCGAGGATGATGGTGCCATCGCACTACGCCGCACCACCTCACAAGAAACGTCGCTACGGAGATCACGGCTCTTCATCGACGCAGGACGACTCTTTCGGAGTGCAATCTCTGCCGGTCGCCATACTGGCAGATGACTTTTCCGGCGATCCGAACGATGGCGAAGAGTACTTGGCCGTAGTGCGACGCGAAGCAGCCGCTGCACCGGGAGTATTCTTTGCCGCCCACAACCCGTACGCCTCGATCACGGAAGCATCACCACCATCCCAACATACAGTCAGCGAACATGGACCTGCCGATTCAATTGCATCAGCACCGTCTCAAAACAGAAACGACACCGACGACAGACTAATCATGCCCATCTCAGAATGGAGAACGACGTTCGTCGAGCAGTTCAAGAACGCACGCGAAGCACTGAGCAACCCACCGCTCGAACCGGTCAAACTCACGCGCGACGACTTGCCCAAACTCAGCAACACCGCCGCATGGTACGCATGGATCCACGGTCGACCTCCTCCTGCCACCTCGAGCGAGGAAGCGGAAAAGCAAGCTTCTCGAAACTACGAGTGGCGCATACGCGAGCCCTCTGCAAGCCTGCTGCTGCGTCTGAGCACAGAGCAGATGTTGGCGCTGCTCGAAGCGTTTCCCTACTGGATTGCCCATCGTGTTCCCATCCCGGACGGCCAGGTGAAGGCCAGTGAGAGGCAGGGTGGGGAGGTGCTGCAGCCTCTGCATGCACGATGGCTCTTTGCACTGTTGCTCAGGTTGGACGGCAGGCTGGTGAGTGAGGAGATCAGTATGTTGCGCACGCTGGCGAGGGCGTGTGTTGCTGCGATCACGTTGAGCCGCATCAGAAGGAAGGCGGTGCGGTCGCGTGTCAGCAAACTAGATGCAGTAGAGACGGTGGCGAACGACGACGAGAAAAGGATGAGATTGGACGAAGCAGGTGCTTGGATGGTCGTCGCCATTATAGCCGGTGTGTGGGGACAGTCGGATCTTTGGGACGATGCAGTTGTCGACATGCAGCGTGTCACTTCCTGACTTGATCTCTCTTGCAGACTGCCACCATCTTCCCGATGCTCGATCTTGACCATGCTACCTCCGCCGGATCCAACTCGACGTTGCTCTTACACTTGAGCTTGAAAAGCATGCAAGCGAGCAACAGGCACCGGCGCTAAGAGGGACACCGGCAAAACGTTGATTGACCACCGGCAGACACTTTCGAGCCGAGAGAGGGACGAGCTGGCCTGCATTTTGGCTTTTGCCAAGCAGAGCGGAGATTCAAGTCGATGCCGTGTCAAATACGCTCAATTTGTATTCGCTCCGCCCGAGCTGGTGGAAATTCAAGTCCAGCCCTTGCCGAAAAAGCATGATTCTTCGGCACACTTCCAGCGAGCTAGCCGTTGGAGGAGCTGGCTTCGTCGTTAGTGACCATCTCGGCTTGCTACAGTAGCCGAATCCTCTTCCATTGGTCTACTCCCTGAGCGGTGCTAAGGTAGGGATGTCCAAGATGAGGGGGGGCTGGCCAAAGCTGATGGTGGGGATGGAATGCTGCGGTGTCTTCAGGTTCGATCGAATACCATTATTTGAATTAGCCAATTTGATTAACCGAGATTTCGAACCGTCGGCACGCTCTGCAGATTCAAACAGCGGATTCCTGCATGTCGCCGTAGTGGCTTTTGACCGCCCCGGGTTTGCCAGTCGTAATGAACCAGCGCAAACAAAGATGCCGTCCGTCGTACAAGCTGCCGAGAGAGACGGACCCTTTCCTTCGTCATCATCGTTTTGGCGTTCCGACTTTGTCAGACTCGTGTGGGCCATGCCGTCGGCTCACTAGAAACAGACGCCAGCATTCTCTCGCTTGTCCACGGCTGGCTGCATTCACCGCGCATCCACGGCACGGCATCCTCGAACGGTCTCCACCACCAACACAAGCGCCCCGACCTACACGGATGCCAGAAATGCAAAGGCGACACCGGTTGCCCCTCTTCATACCTTGACTCGGCATCATACCATTCGAAGCCAGTCGCCCCTTGTGCCGCGCCGCCTCCTCTTGCTGCCGGATTAGTGCAGGCCTGTTCTCATGGCGCTGGCCCGCTTCTTCGCCTGCATCTCACTGTACAGCTCGACAGTACCCATCACGGCATGTATTGAAACCCTCTGCAGCCAACAGCACACCATCGTTCCATCGGCTCCATCAATTACGGCATCTAGAAATCGACCTCGTGGACCCCCGTGCCGTCCAAAGCTACCTGCTGCCTCTAAAGCCTCGCATCTTGCCGATTCATACCTCTTCGCTTCCGGTGCGACGGCAACAAGCGGCATCCACACTGGCATCCCGCAGAGTGACACCATCGAGTATAGCTCTCTCAGCCCGCGAGTTACGTCTCTTTCCTCTCGACATCTCTTCGTCGAGACCGACTCCGGGATCAGGGTTCGACGGACAAGCGATTGATATACACAACAACCTCTCCGTCATCTCGTCATCGTCTTCCCTGTCATGATCCGGAGCTTCGACATGTCGTCGTGACATCTACCTTGTCTGATTCTCTCCCTACCAATACATCGTCGGATCAGCAACGCGGGCTACGTTCCAAGCGCAGAAGCGCCCGAGCAAATCAAGCACAACCATGCAGGCGACAACGTCAACACCATCACATATGCCGTCGGCACCATCAATACAGCCTCCTCCTTTCGACTCGCCTCCTCAAGATGCTCCTTCTGCATCATCAACCCTCCAACCGCTCACACCCTCCGAGATCGAATCGATCGTCCTCATCGGTCCCGAAGACTCGCGCCACTGGTCGCAGAACAAAAAATGGCTCACCACCGTCATCATCTCGCTCATGGGATTCATCTCCCCGCTCGGCTCCTCCATCCTCGTCCCTGGTAACGGCTTCGTCGACCACACCTTCACCCTCAACTCGCGCACCCTATCGCTCCTACCCGTTTCGCTGTTCGTCATCGGACTCGGCATCGGTCCATTCGTCCTCGCTCCCTGCTCCGAAACTGTCGGCAGACAACCTGTCTACGTCATCACCAGTCTTCTGTTCATCGTCTTCAACCTCGCCTCGGCCTTCTCGCCCAACTTTGTCGTTCTCAATGTATTGAGGATCTTTGCTGGGGCTGCGGGGAGTACCGGTCCGAGTTTGGGTGCGGGGAGCATCGGTGACATGTTTGCTCCGAGAGAGAGGGGTAGGGCCCAGAGCCTGTATGGGTTGGGTCCGTTGATGGGTCCCGTGTTGGGAAGCATCATCGGATGTTTCATCGCCGCGGGAACGAGGGATTGGAGGTGGCTACTGCACACGCTGACCATCATGTCGGCTGTGGTGTTCGTCATCATCGTCATGTTTCTCGATGAAACGTACGCTCCCGTCCTGTTGCGAAAGAAACGCGAGAAAGCGGTGCAACAGCGTCAACTCGAAATCGATCAGCAGAACCCCAAAGCAAAGTCCATCAGAACTCCGTCTTTCCTCAAGAAAACGGGCAACTGGTTCAAACGATACCTGCCCAGCAACGAGATCCTGCACAAGATCAAGACGGCGCAATCACGTCCCTTCCGTCTGCTGTTCACCAACCCGATCTGCGCCATCTTTTCGTACTACCTCGGTTTCTGCTACGGTATCATCTACCTCTTCCTCACCCAACACCCGCTGCTGTTCCAGACCCGAGCAGGCGAACCGGATGCTCCATCCGAGGACATCTTGCCCACGTACAACTGGGGTCTCGGAATCTCTGGCTTGAGTTATCTAGGGTTGGGGTTGGGTTTCTTGGTGGCGGCGTTTACGAATGCAGCGCTGCAGGATGAGATCTACGCCAGGCTGGTGCTGGCCGATGGAAAGCTGGGGTGGTTCTTGTTCAAGTCAAAGGAGGAGATCAAGAAGATCATGAAGGAGAAGGAGTTCGATCGGCAGGCGAGGGATGTCGAGAAGCAAGTGGCGGAACGGGGATCGGACGAATCGCATTCCCACAACAGCAGCAGGAGACCGAGTGACAATGTCGATGGGATCAACTCTCACTTTGGAAACGTCACTCCCATCGTCAACCCCGATCACACGTCTACCTCCATCAAGGACCAATCCACAAGTCCCACCGAAAAGAAGCTCTCACCACCTCCTCCTGCTCCCGCCACTGAAACGAAGAAAGGTCGACCCGAATACCGCCTCCCTCTCTGCTTCGTTGGGATGCTCATCCTCCCCCTCGGCCTCCTCCTCTTCGGCTGGTCCGCCGCCAACCAGACCCACTTCATCGTACCCCTCATCGGGAGCTTCGTCGTCGGCTGCGCCACCATCCTCTGCTTCCAGACCATCCTCGTCTACCTCGTCGACGCCTTCGTGCCGTACTCGGCCTCAGCGACGGCTTGCGCGGTGCTCATCCGAAGTCTCTTGGCAGCAGCGTTTCCGTTGTGCGCGGAATACATGTTCGAGGCGTTGGGATACGGGTGGAGTTGCACGTTGTTGGCGGGGATCGGATTGCTGGGGTTGCCCGTGCCGTTGGTGCTGTTCAGGTATGGAGAGGGGTTGAGGAGTAGGTACAAGTTCAAAGGGTAGTGCAGGGGAGGAAAGGGGGTTTGTATTTGTATCGTTTGCATTTTGCTTTTGTTTCTCATCGTCTTGGAATCGCATTCATCTCTCATTGTGCTTCATATGACTGTCAACATTGAACACACGTGAAAGCCAGAGATGCTCACACATGCTGAAGTAGGACACACACACAGCGACCAAGGTTGGGGCAAAGTGGTGTGATGTCGGCTCGGCGGCCAATCTCGACGTTCTACAAATACATTTTCTCGCATACCATTCTACGCACCGACACGCTTTGCTCCAGCGTGCGCTCCCTCCTGCTTGATCAGGACCTTCTTCAAGATCTGCGCATTCCTACCCCGCATCCCTGCCAGAATCCTCGCCGGAATCGGCCTCAACGCCGAGATCAACGCCACCAGCACCGAGAGCAACGCCAGACTGCCCGCCTGATGCGCCGAAGCCAACGGAATCGGAACCATGTAGATCAAGGTCGTAATCCCCAACGTCACCTGCGCCACCACCACGCCGACACTGGCATTCGCCAACGTCAACACCCTCGGTGGCAATTGGGGCAACACTTGACCTGATCCTGCTTGGGCGATGTTGGCAGCGGCAGCGGTGTACGTGCGCGAGAGACGGTGCGTCTTCCACGCCAGGAAGAGGACGGTGCTGGCGGTGGTGATGGCGAGAGTGCGGTGGATGAGTTGCACGGTAACCGGGTTTTGCGAGAGGTTGCGCCAGATCTTGTCGGAGCCATCGGAGCGTTGAGCGAAGCGATCGTCCATGAGCTCCTCCATCGGCGGTGCCAGCCGGCCGTCTCCCATGGTCGGGAACTCGTTGTACACCAACCCTGCATCCAACCCCGCCACCAACGCACCGGACATGGCGGTGGTGAAGACCAGCCCAGCGACGAGCTTGGTGAATCGCGAATGCGAGCGTAGCAGAGGGTGGTTGAGCGTGTTTGCGAGCTGACTGAGTGCAGCTTGAGATCGGGCGCGGATGCCCGAGATGGATCCGGTGAGCGTGGCGGCCTTGTAGTCTCGTTGGACCGCCAAGCCGGTGTGAAGCATGGCGAGGTAGACTAGGAAGGCGGTACCCATGTGCATCGCGAGGCGGAAGTGCGATACTCTCGGGGTCCAATCCGCCGCAGCAATCGACGTCTGTGCTGACGAGGTAGGCACGCTCGTCGTCGCATCCCACCTCACCCTCCCACCCTCCGTATCCACCGTCGCGTTCGGATGATCGTCTTTGATCACCGGTACCGGCACTTGGACCATCTTCGCCTTGCCTTCACTCCCCTTCGGAACCGTCAACCCGGATTTCACCATGAACCAGCCCAAAAACCCCTGGAACCCAATCCCTCCCGCAATCGCCAACAACTTCCACTTCGTCCCCGCCGCCACCCACCTCCTCGTCACAAAGAACGCCGCCGGCAGCACGAACGCCACGCCGATCACGCGTCCCAGCACACGATGCCCCCATTCCCACATGTAGATCGACTTGAAATCCTCCAACGACATCTTGGAGTTGAGCAGGACGAACTCGGGCGTCTGCTTGTACTTGTCCCACTCGGCCTCCCACTCCGGCGTGGTGGTGGGGAGACGCATGCCTTTGAAACCAGGGTTCCACTCGGTGATGGAGAGACCGGATTCGGTGAGCCGCGTAAGACCGCCGACGACGACGATGGCGTAGACGAGGAAGGCGAGTGCGTACAGGTGCAGCGCTACGATGGGTTTCGAGACGAACGGTGTGGATGATGCGGTGGTGGGTGGGGTGGGTGGTGAGATGTCGGAGGAGGAGGAGATGGTGGCTGTGGATTGATGTCGGTGTTGGTTGAAGCTTCTTCGTGAGCCGAGAAGTGTGAGTATGGACGGCGTGGCTGGCGCAGCGGTGGCACTAGATGATCGCAGTGTCGACAGCGAGCGCGATGCCAGCGCACTCGTACCCAACCCAGCCGATACTCTCGAAAATGTCGACAGCGAGCGACTGCTCATCACAGCTCTCGCAATCGGCAGCATCGACACAACACCCGCCTGTCTCGCTGACACTGCTGCGGTTCCTGCCAACCTAAGCCCGGCCAATCTCGTCGATATCGTGCTTGCTAGAGCAGTCATGGCGGAAAAGACTGCGCAAACGCTACTGCTTCAGTGGTGTGGCGAATCGAATGATGAATAGGATGCTCGGTGTCGGATTGAAGGAAGAAATGCGAACCGAGCTTTATTTTTTTTGGTGGTCGCTGGTACAGGAGCGGAACGGACAGGAAAGCAACGCGCCCGAACCAAAATCGGCGGATTATCAAATCGTGTGCGAGTCAACGGAATTCGCCGGTGCTCTCGCAGTCCCCAAACGTTCGGACGAATAGCTTCGATGACATTGCACACAGACAGCGATCACGATCATTCTGGTGACAGCCATTCTTGTGCCAAGCTATGATCCACATGGCAGTTGTGCAGATGGACCGTTCATGCTAGATGTGCATTTCATTGCGACGAGGGACAACCGCTCTGACTGAAAATGCCCTCATTCGAACGCTATTCTCAATCGGCTGCTTGATCCGCTGATGCCTCGAGCTCACCTACGTCCGCCTCTACGCTTCGCCATCTCCTGCGCCTTCTTCTCCTCCTGCAACCTCTGCTGCTTGATCACATTGCCGATACCGGCCAACCTCCTATCGTCCTTCCTGAGGTAATACAGCTTCGCCCTCCTGGTCCTCCTCAACTTGCCCGACTTATCATTCTTGCCCGCCTCCGCCTTCTGGATCACCCTGACATCCTTCAACAGCGGAGAGTACAGATTGAAACGCATCTCGACACCCAGCTTCTGCACCAAGTTGCGCAGCACAAACGACGTCGACACTCCACGACGACGCACTGCAATCAGAACACCGGAGAATGAAGAAAAGTTCGTCTTGAGCGGAGAAGTCCAGGATTCGACGATGAGCACGGATCCGGGTGGGATGCGATCGGCGGACTTGCGGTCAAACAGCTTGGTGAGACGGTTGCCGGGGTCGTAGCGTGCGCGCAGTTCCGAGTGGACGCGCGGCATGACGGCGTCAAAGATGGTCTTGGGCGCGGGAGGTGGTGTGATGCCCTTTTTGGTGGAAACGAAGGTGGGGACGTCGGGGATGAGTGCTGCTGACGAAAAGGGGTATGTCGCAGCTGTGTACAGCAAGATGTCAACATGGAGAGAAAAAGGGTGTCAGCGGATCGATCTCCAAGTACGAGGAGAGTGAGTCGGGGCGCTACTTACATCGCTGCTGTTGTGAGCTCGACGCTGACTTGGATGAGGAGGCTGCCGGTGGTTGGCGCTTTGATTGGGACGAGGAGAAGCATCTTCGAGACGTAGAGTACGAGGTGGAAGGTGTCGACGATGATGATGAGCTGCTAGATCCTACTCGAAGCGAGCGGAACAGCGCAGTGAGCTGCTTCTGTGACGATGGTGCCGCCATAATGTTGTGCGGGTTTGTTGGTGGTTGGCAACGACGATGACGAGGATGAGGACCGTTAGTGGTGACAGTGAATCGTCTTTGTGTGACACTTTTCTCGACGTTTTCTGCATTTCTTCTTGAGCCCTTTCGCTGCCACAGGCAATCACTCGTGCGATAATGTCAGCCACACTGGCGAGACGCCTCAATCACCATTTTCCGGATCCGTGTTTGATTCTAGAAGAGCGCTTTTGAATCGGGCGGATTTCGCTGAGCACCAGCCAAGTTGGCTTTGCTTGCTCTGCCAGATCGGCGGTCAAGGCTCTGAAGCGCGCTTTCGCCGTTGTCTGCTCGCCCGCTCACTCGACCCTGACTGCGCATTCCACCATCATCTTTTCATTCTCGATACGCACCCATCGCATCTCTTCCATCATACTTGGGCTGGTGTTTTGCACGACTTGCTCGCAACCGCGACCGGTTTTCCCTTCTGCTGACGTCGTGCTGTAGCATATCTGCTTTCGGACAGCACTCAGACCGTCTCGACTGCAACCCTTGCGTCCATCCCACGTCTCCACCGAGAACCGTCACAATCATCTGCACATTCGCCACGCATAGCGACGATCCACTACCACCACAATGGCGGCGAGAAAGTTGCAGACAGAGATCGACAAGACCTTGAAGAAGGTCGCAGAAGGCGTCGAGAGCTTCGAAGACATGTTCGATCTGCTTCAGCGCTCAACGAATGCCACACAAAAGGAGAAGATGGAGTCCGATCTTAAAACACAGATCAAGAAGCTCCAACGTCTACGTGATCAGATCAAGACATGGCTGCAGAGCAACGACATCAAGGACAAGAAGCCGCTCCTCGACAACCGCAAGCTTATCGAGACCCAGATGGAGAAGTTCAAGGCCATCGAAAAGGAGATGAAGACCAAAGCCTTCTCCAAAGAGGGCCTCATAGCTGCCGCAAAGATGAATCCAAAGGATCGCGAAAAGGCAGAGGTTTCCGAGTGGCTCTCCACACAGGTCGACGAGCTCTCACGACAGGTCGAGTCCGCAGAAGCAGAGATTGAGACCATCTCGGGCTCGGGCAAAAAGAAGAAGGGTTCCGCAAAGGACGAACGCGCATCATCGCTCGAATCCCAAAATGATCGCAGGAATTGGCACATCTCGCGCCTCGAGATTCTTTTGCGCATGTTGGAGAACGGCAACCTCGAGACGGAGCGTGTTACGGACATCAAGGAGGACATCTCGTACTTTGTCGAATCCAATATGGAGGAGGACTTTGAGGAGGACGAGGGCATCTACGACGATCTCAATCTCGACGATGGCGAGGAGGCATTTGGTCTCAAGGAGAACGACGACATTCAAAGTAACGTCGACTCGACGGCCGGCATGGATGATCTCAGCTTCCGCGATATCAAGGACACGCCGACGAAACCACGACGGGACAGCTTGGCCGAGATCAGCACTAGCTCCGCCAACAACAGCATCTCAACCGCCACCACCGCAACCAACACTGCCACCGCCGCTTCCAACAAGAAGGACGAGACCGTACCATCGCCAGTGTCGGCTTCGCCAGCACCCACCGCACCTTCACCTGTTTCGGCCGCACCAGCTCCCAAGAAGACCATCAAAAAGGCATCGCAAGAGCCAGTCGCAGTGCCGAAGGAGAAGGCGGTACCTACTGCCAACTTTGCGCAGGCCAAGGCACCATCCGCATCCCAGTCTGCCGTCCTTTCGCCACCAAAGGCACCCAGCGCTGCACCGCTTCCTCCCATCCGTTACGCTGCAGCTGCTGCGGCGGCAGTGGCGGCCACCGCTGCTGCAACCGCTGCCGACGCGACGGCTGCTTCCCCTGCGACGACCACAGCATCCACCGCCACTGACTCGGCTTCGGACCCGATCACGAACGCTGCCAACTCGACAGCAGCATCTGCGGCACCTGGCTCGCACGTCCAATCATCTACAGCAGCATCGCAGCAGGTGGGGGCGCCCGCCACACCCGCCAAGTCGAGCGTCGACGCACTCAAGGATGACGCAGCAGCCAAGGCACGATCAGCATCGCCAGCGCCTCCAGGCCTCACCAAGGTCGATGCGAGCAACAACAACGCAGCAGCAGGATCGGGTGCATCGACACAAGACACCACAAGTACGTCAGGATTCCAGCCGGCCCAGCTCGCCGCCTCTTCGGCAGCAGCGAGCGTGGTGCAGCCCGCAGGTGGAGGAGCAGGAACTGCAGCACAGCAAGCAGCGGCGCAAAAGGAGGCAGGCACCGAAGCACGATTGCCGACGTCGCTCACCGACCTTGTGTCGTCGTTCGAGTCTGCCAAGCAGAAATCGCTGCGTCGCGACGCCAACCTGGGTCTGGTGCACAAGTCGCTCGAGTCGTCCTTCATGAACGTGCCCGAACCGCTGGATTCGGACAAGCCAAAGTACTACGTACCCAAGAACCCATTCCCCACGCCGAGCTACTACCCGCAGGCGCCGGCGAGCGTGTTCGATCATCCCGCGCTGTACTCCAAGTTTGACGTCGACACGCTCTTCTACATCTTCTATTACCAGCAGGGAACGTACCACCAGTATCTGGCGGCCAAGGAGTTGAAAAAGCAGAGCTGGCGCTTCCACAAGCAGTACTTGACCTGGTTCCAGAGGCATTCGGAGCCGCAGGCGATCACGGACGAGTACGAGCAGGGTGTGTACGTCTACTTTGATTGGGAGGGTAGTTGGTGTCAGCGCAAGAAGTCGGATTTCCGATTCGAGTATCGATGGTTGGAGGATAACTAGCTGTCAAGGTGGGCGAGATGCTGATGTTGAGATGCAGATGAAGGAGAACGAAACAAAATTATGTTACCTTGTTTGCCTCGGTGGGTGCTGCTTTGTTTCTGTGTGATGGCCGAGGAGCCAAGCGAGTGATGGAGATGAAACTGCTTCGCTGAGTATGGTGAGCATCTGCGGGAAAAGTCGATTGAGCCTGGTGCGGTGAGGAAGTGGTTAAGCGAAGGCGCAAAGACCCAGCAGCCGAGAGCGTGCATTTGTTCGGTTGCGGAGAGCGAACCGCAACCGACGACATGACGGTCTTTCGCAGCGCACTGTCGTCTCGCTCGTGGACGTTGTTGGTTAGTGAGAATTCGGGCGAGTCCAGGGAGGGCATGGGAAATCGTCACCTCCCATCCGAGCATCAGGAACGTTGTTTCATCGTTGCCGACCACGCTAGCGGCGTCTGATTGAGATCTGCTTGCTCGCCTTCCCTGCCCATTACATCCTGCTCATGGTGCACGCATCTGCGAACAAGTCGAATGTCGATCAGCATGCGATCTGTATGTGTCAGAACAATTTAGATGTAAGTCTCGTAAACGAGGACAACACGCGAGGCTCATCGCCACCGAATCACCTGCATGCTGTGCAAAATCAAGCGAAAAACGTGGTGGATGCAGCTCGCCAATGCAGGTTTGTTCCGTCGATCATTGACCCAACTTTTGCGAGTGACATAACGCAAAGCGGGGATCACAGAACGGATCAACTGCTGTGGGATAACTCGCAGGACGATGCTTTTACGGCGTTCATGTTGGAAGGCATTGATTGATTGGCTGATACAGACAAGAACAAGCCGAGGTCGTCGGGAGACTTGCCACCGGCGACGTCTCTGACACACCACTAAGTGTGCAAACGTATCGAATGCTATCCGAGCCAATCATATGCACGACAGGTGCAGTGTGTGGCCTGGCCTTCGGATAGGTTCCGACCTCCATTGTGTCTCTGAATGGACTGTCTCGAATCGGTGTCGTTTTCTCTTTATTTCCGCAACCAAAAATGTTTGTGGAGTGTGTCGAGGGCCGAATGTGAAACAGCGGCCCTTCGGATGAGCGACCTGGTTCTTGCTTCCGCCGGGTGCTCAACCTTTATCTTCTCCCAGTGAGACATCCTATTTCGTCCTCCAGTTGGCACATTGCCTTCCGACGGCTCCAAATGTCCTCTTCGGCTGCGAAGGTGGCATCACGATCCATCAAATGAACACGGCGTGGCTGGCCGCAGCCCTTGCCCAAGGTCGAGCCTCTCCGCCAAAACGAGCTGCAGATTCATCATGCACCCTCATTCATCTTGAGGCGCAAATTTCGCGGCGCAACCGATGATGCAGGTGGTGTGTGTTATTTTTATCCAAAAAAGATTAAATATGAGAAGTGACGAGCATGCAGGGTTCTGCAAGACTGAGGGAATCGGCTGTCAACGCCGACGTAAAGTGACACCCAAAATTGCGGGATGGCCAGCTGCTTGAAAGCAAGACTGTCGAGCTGCTGCCGGTTTCTTTTGGTGGCCACGGGTGCCGCTGCAACGACAATAGGCCGAATCACACTCCGCTTGTCACTTTGGCCAACCCTCTCTTATCCTGACGAGTTCACTCAGCCATCACATTGCTAGCAACGTCTCTGGATCTTTTCACTTCCTCCCCATCATCCCTCTCGTCTTGCTAATCACCTCGACCCTCATCGTCTTTCGCTCGTCTTCCGGTCTCTCTATTTTCACGTCTCGTCTAATCGCCTCGGTCTTGCTAATCGTCGTCTTGCCGTCACGCACCTCTCATCGCAGCGCAAACCATCGCAACATCCACATGTCGGGCACAACCATCTCGAAACGGCTCAGACGCTGTCTGTAACCACCCTTGTCTTCCTTCTTAGGATTGGTGACGCCGTCGCAGGTCACCCATCATGTCGCTCAAGTTCCTCACAAAGCGGCGCGATCGCAATCGCTCCGAGTCTGCCACGTCCAACGGCACCAAAAACAGCTCTCTGGACAAAAGTCCGGCACCATCACGTGCCACTCTGCCGTCCTCCGACTCCTTCCTCAGCAGAGGCAGCAAGGCCGCAGCAGCACCTCCCGAAGTACAAGTCATCAGCTGGCATCCCGATGATCTCCGCTCCGCACGTCGCGACGTGCACATTCGATCCAGAGGAGACGACGCTCCCTTCAAAGCTTCGCCGACTCCTGTCTACCAAGCCTTCACCTCCCGCTCTGCGCCTACGTCCCGATTCATGACCAAGCCATCCACCGCGAGAACGGAAATCGACCACGCTCCTTCCAGCAGCAATGCAAGCAGCAGCGATATCGGACACACTTTCTTCGGAGCCACGGATTCCCTTGTACTTCGCAATCACAACTTCAAGTCTCCTCGTCGTCCGCGTCCGCGTCCTGGAACAGCGCCGCTTCCCAAACATCCCCCACCGGTAACATCTCAGCAAGACTCGGCATCGGAAACACCCAAAAGCGAAGACCTCGAGGTCCTCAATCCCTCTTCGTGTCCTTCGCCACTTTTACAACAGCCAGAGTCGTCCACCCGACCCAGCGTGCCCGTGCGACATGCTGGGAGACCACGTCACGCAAAATCGCGCTCTTATACCTCGCAAGCTGCTACACATGATGCGTACGACACCGACGATCCCTCGAGCTCCTTTGGCCTCCCCTTTTCGTCAAAGCATCGCAACGCTTCAGTGCAGTCTCTGATCAGCGTCGTCTCGACGGGAGCAAGAGGTTCATCTTCAAGTCAGGGTGACAAGTCAACCACCACTTCCGCCGGCAGCTCATCCGGCTTGCTCTCCCGCATTCCAAGTCGGCGAAGGACAAGGAGCAAGAATGCATCCGTCTCGGACGTGCACGCCGCTTTTCCCCCAGACTTGTCGGCCGAAGCTGAGTCTCAGCCGAGGTTCCGCGCTCGTAGCGAATCATTTGGAGCCTTGACCACAAGACTCTTCCGATCCAAAGACCAAACCATGCAGGCGCCGACAGCGACAACTAGCCCCAACAAAGCCAGTCGGAACGCCATCAAGGGCACCGCCGCACCACCTTCAGCTTGGCGAACGGATGCTATCGCTCCCACAGCAGCATCGGGAGACGATTATGCTCACGACGCTGGTGGTGAATCAACGCGCGCTCCTTCTATGACCTACAGCTCGGACAACGAAGTGAGTGTCGGTCATGGCTCTTCGTTGGGCCATGGTGTCGAATCAGGGCATCGTGCTGGCACTACATCTCCATCAAGGAACCTCATGTCGGGAAGCTCTAGTGATCATTCTGGCACCGCGACATCACTCTTGTTTGCTGGTCTCAAAGCGCTTGGCGGCGGTGGCGGCAATGACTCGACCTCGAATCGTTTTTCCACCTATTCGACAAAGTTGACCGCTTCGCCAAAGCAGTCTACCGCGCCGCAGTCGCACTTTGACCATCCCAGCCCTGTTCTCGACTCTCCTCGAGTGTCAGGCCTTCCGCTCCCCCTTGCCACACCCAGCCCTTCATCGTCACCTGGTGGCACCATCTTCACCGCGCAACTATTGAAGCGCATCGGCCCACCGCCCGTCGGACTGGCTCCCGAGTGCTTCCATGAGCGCGTCGCGCTCGTTCAAAATTACATCTTGAGTCAGGTACCCTTGCCTCCCCTACCACTCTCGCCGCACTCCTTGCCGTCGGACGAAGATCCGATTGGAAAGGCTGCAAGTCAACGTCCATCGCGTGAGTCGAGTCTGCCGCTCGCTTCTCGTCGCAGCAACACCAATCCGGCCCCAGCACGATCTTTCATATCATGCGTGCCAATGGGAAAAGGCGAATCATGCGATGTGACCGCCTCCCTGCAGGATGAATTCGACAAGCTCGAATGTGTGGCCGAACGAGAGCTGGGAAACCTTGTCTCCACACCCTTCTCGCAACAGAACTCTGGTGGCACGCCCGCCCGGCTCGTCGACACCCTACAGACCCTTAGACTGCGAGAGGTGTTCCTGGCAGCCAGAAGCAGATGCGGGCTTGATCCGAGTCGCAGCCACTTTGATCTTCAAAATTTTGCGGTGACTGCAGATCAGATGGCACGGTCAGACTCTTCCCGCAGAGGCACAGCTTCGGCGGTCAACAAGGATGGCAGTCTCGGTTTGGGACTGCGAGGAATCACAGCACACTCTCCAGATATGGGTCAAGGCATCCAAATGAGCCTGAGACCGGCTCCCCGAAGACGAAGGGGAACCGGATCGGCGGCACAGAGACCGCTCACCGCTCCTGGAGGTGCAGCGCAGCCCATGGCCTACGTGTGTCCAGACCTCCCAGCGACGGTTCGAAACGACTTTGACGGTGATCTCTTCACTCCACAATCATTCAGCGCCAAACTCTGCGCGATGCATCGGCCGCCAACCAGACTACGGTCGAGCATCTTCGAGGATGACGATGGCGACGATCAAGACGAAGCGCACAACGCAAGCAGCAGAGACAGTAGCGCTACACACCGCAGTGTCGAGTCCGCCTCCATTTGGAGTGCCGTCGTTGTGCCGGTCAAGAAGCGGTCGCCGGTGATGGAGGCGTTTGACTTTGTCGATTCGATTTGACGAAGCGGCGAAGTCAGCATGGATCGAACACAGAATGCACTCGAACATGCTGGTGTTGAATTAGTCAAGGAATTTGTAGCAACGATGGACGCGGAAGAGGACGCGTATCGAGGACGAACGACGCAGCGATGCATCGACAGAGGTCGACGACTGCGCTCGTCACATCATTCAATCTTATCTACAGTATCTGGATACGCAGCAGAAAAGAGAGCTGGACATGCCGCGAACTCGGACGAGGCTGAAGAGGCTAAGTAGGGAACTCATTGATCCTCATTCTGTCCTCTGATCACTTCAAAGTAGCTGCCACTTGAACAAATCTCATCCTTCTCTTGGAGTCTGATCGAAATCCAACCTCACCTCTTGCGGATTTGCACCCATGAAACCCGCTCTTTGTTAGTGTGGCGTCGGGCTAAGGCCTTGCCGAGATGAACACGCACGTCGACTCACACACCACATTCGTTCTCTCACCGCGACGTCGTGTCTTGACTTCCCATCCACACACGTATTTTGATGTACGAACACGAATATATTTCTCTTGATGAACGTGCAACACCAGCCATGCAAAAAAGCTGCTGCTTCTAAGTCTAACTTTGCGTGTTTTCTTACCCTTCGTGAGGTGAGACAAGCGTGCGCAACTGGGCCAAGGTCACTCCTCTCGCGTCGTCTTGCATGCTACTCTGCGTGTTGTCGTTGCTGCATAAGGGGGTGGAGGTGAGCGGTTGGAAGAGCATCTTCCAGCCGAGGGTGCGGGCGAGCTGCTGCAGCAGGTGCTCTTGCTCGTCGAGCGCGCAAAGGAGTGATTCGGAGGTGGTGGCGTTGGTGCAGGCGAGGGAGAGGGGCATTGGTTCGTCCGTGGAGGAGGGAGTGGTTGCGGCTTCTGCATCGACTGCTTCGATTGGCTCGTCGTCTTTCTGCGGTTTGGAAATGAGCTGTTTGAGGCGACGTTGAACCGCATCCAGATCCTTAACGATCCTCTTCGCCCTCTCGAGATGTCCCAAACTCCTCGGCAAAGCAACCACCTTCCCGACCGTCTCCCCCGCTACCACCAGCTCCACCCAAACCTCGCTCAACAACGCCTCTACGATCTCGTCACCACTCACGACCCTCTCCTCCCCGCTCTCTCCATGCAAGTTCGACCTGATCTCCAGCAATACCGCTCCCTTTCCCCCTCCCTCCTTCACCACCACCCTCCTAACCATCCCCATCACATACCCCACCACGCGCTTCAAATCCCTCACCACCAAATCCTCCCATCTACACCACTCGTCATAGAACCCCCTCCACACCCTCCCAAACACCTCCTCCCCCACCTTCTCGTCAAACCCGCTGTCCACAATGATGCTCGCAAAACTCGCCTCCACCACATCCGCTACCGCTTTCGGCACCACCACCCCTCGCTTCAACTTCAACCAGTACTGTGCCCCTCCCTCCTCCTCCAACCTCTTGATCTCCTTCGCGTACACACCGATGTTGTCGGAAAGAACATCGCTATCGCTAGCAACGAACCTCTCCAACCCCAACCTAACCCCCATTGCCGACAGCGTAGAGTTGCTCGCCAGCACACCCTTCAACGTTGTCAACTCCCCCGGAGAAAGATCCGCATGCTTGCCGAAAATATACCGGACGATGTAGAAGTCCAACCATGCATCACCCAAAAACTCCAGTCGTTGGTAGGATGGGAGCACGGAAGCGAGCAGCGATGGATGCGTAAACGCTTCCAGCGCCAGGTGCGGGTAGGTGTAGGTGTGGGAGAACAGCTTCTGCAGATGGGTGAGCCCACCAAGGTCGATGCGCGAGGACCAGTTGTGGTCGATCGAACGTTGTTTCAGATCCAGCAGGAGCGTGTTGAAGTCCGACATGGTTCGAATGGTGTCCGGGAGTAGGGTGAACGTTCGGCAGACGAACAGAGCTTGTTCGGTGGACTGCAGCAGCGCACATCCGATCAACGCCTCCACCACGTCCGAGATCACTTTCTCCCTCGCCACCTCTACCTCTTCCCCCACCTCCCCCTCCTCCTCTCGCACCAACTTCCCCCCGACCTGACCGATCATCGGCGCCTTCCACCCCCTCACCCCACCCCCCGCACTCCTCCCCACGACCCACC